ACTCAAAGGATTATAGACCCAAATTTGAGAAAAGGAGAGAAAGGCCAAAAGATAAAAAGTAGTGAGGAAGGTTGAAAAATTAAGGGTCAATATTTGCATAACAGAAGATCTATTTAACCTTTCTCACTACTTTTTACCTTTGGGCTTTCTCTCCTTTTCTCAAATTTGGGTCTATAATCCTTTGAGTCACAACTTCAGCTTTATTTAGTATTCCTTTGTCATCCACACATATCCAAGTATTTGAAAATATTTCTTTTTCACTCAAAAATAAAATATGTATAAAAGTTTACTGCTTTGTGAAACTTCTTTTTTGAGTTTATGCCGTTGAAATAAAAAAATAAAACAATTTGTTGGTTTTGTTTACACGTTTATTGGCCACATGCGGGTCACTGGTTGGACATCCCTGATTTAGAGTTTAGTTCTAGTCAAGATCCAAATTAACTAATACATTACAAGAAGCAGTTCAGTTGATTAACTAGTTTGATAATTGACAATTTGTTATAATTTATTTCTAAAAATTTTATTTTTATTTTTTCAGTTGTTGGTCCAAGATATCAGAAACAGGACTTTAATCTTCAGTCAGCAGTACACCATGGAAATAACATATCAGGAATAATGGGTAAAATTCTTAGAAATTTCAATTTAATTGATAGTTTTTTAAAAAAAACTATCAATTAAATTGAATAAATCAATCTTTTGTTTGTTAATTAAACATTTTATAAAGTAAATTAATATAATATAGCCTCCGAATAGCAGACACTGTCGAGATTGAGAAGTTTGTCCACTATTAGGGGGAACATGCAGATATAGCTAATTAAAAAACTATCAATTAAATTGAAATTTCTAAGAATTTTTAAGAAATGTGAATGTATCAAAAAGTATAAGTAGGATATTTAATTAAAATATATATACTGTATTATTTATCTTATCAGCTGTAAAAATCTCATTTAAATTTAATTCTAAATAGCAAACAGACTGGACAGAATACTTTAAATGATACATATAAATTATGGCAAAATATAAACATTGATTAATTATTAATTCATGAAAAATGATGTAAACTAAGCAACTAATAAAACTTCATATAGTGATTTTACTATATGTGCTTTATAGTTATCAAGTAGCTGTAATTTTTTGAACATTTTTGCTTTTTTCAATAAATAATCTATAAAAAATTATACTTAAGCCACCACAAAGCTGTTAAGTTCATAAACGTGAGAATACTGAATATTTTCCAACACTTTAAATTGGTTGGCAAATTGCTTTTGCTTTGTAACATGACCTTTGAACTTTCACCACATTAATGCTGTTGTAACTGTTTTAAATTTCTTTCTCATTACTACTATACTATGGTTCTTGCTGAATGAATGAATCACCCAGGAAAAGCTTATGAGTTTCTTCGTACTATAAGCTTAATTCCAACAATAACACAGACATTTAATAACATTAATATGCATGACGATAAGTGACAACTTAACCAGATTAAACTTCTCTAACAGATAAAGAATGTTGTTCAGTTTTTTATAACCTTCCCTCACTTAATCCTGTTTTCAGCCAGTCTTTATTCAATACCTACAGTTAAAATTTGTTATCTATTGGAAGAGTATTTGAACCAAATTATATAGTTTTCTATTTGTATTTTATTTATCAAATAATAATATTATTATTATTTGATAAATAAAATAGAAATGAAGTAATACACAATAAAATGTTTGGCATTCATTTTATATTTTCTACATGTATGGAGTTTAGGAGTTTCTCCCTGAGAATTCTATCTTTCCAATTCACTTATTTTTTAATTTTATCTATAATGAACTCCTAGTGAAAATAAAACAAAAATTTTAATGTTCGAGATGGTACCTTCTAAACCTTATATTGGTAATTGTAATGCTTTCAATAGCTACTCAAGAAACATGAGATGTACAGGAGTACAGGTTATGCAAAGGCTTAATTTCCATTCTTGGAATTTCTGTAGAGTATATGCTGATGTGGTTATACACTATCACAGTTTACATACACAAAATTACAATAAATATTTTGTCAACTAAAGTATCTAACTGAATAATTGTTGATGAATGTAGTTAATTATTTGCACTAATTGTAAGTATAATTAGTTAGATGGTTGCTTTTCTGGATAATCAGTACATTAATATCATATTTTGTTTGTGAACAATTGAATATTTGACATTAGACTAAAAATATAAAGTTCTATATGAAAAATTTTTATGTTCTACAAGAAACCTCAGAAAAACAAAAGTAGAGCAAACAATTATACATTTAGAGCAGGGGGTGTCCAACCTTTTTGTTCCTCTGGGCCACATTGGAAGAAGTCATGGAGTTTTGGGCTACAAGTATATATAATATATTTGTGACCCAATCCTTAAATATACTTGTATATTTAAGGATTAACAAGTCTAGATTATAGTAATAAGTATTAAAACTTTATCATGAAAAAGGATATTTAAAAAAATTACTTTTACAGACAGTTTCAATTTTTACCTAGAAATAAATAAATTCATTTATTATAAAGGAGACAAACAAAAATTTATTTGAAAAACAAATATTTGTTTTATTTGGGTCTCTAATTAATAAAAAACGATGAAACATCATTTTAAAGTATATTTTTATTTGACTAATATATTTATAAATAATATGTAGCCCAGAGAGTAGCCAATGTGCCAAATGATAATTTTTATGCCAAACTNTATTAAATTTTATTTCAAACTTCTAATTGTCCAAAATTAATTATATTTTTATAGTTATGGCAATCAATGATCAAAATAAACTTTTAGACAAGTTTCGCTATGGAAATCACTTGAAAACATATCACATAAAGGGTCAGTTTGGATATGCAACTGAGTCATTTTTTGCAGATGGAAAAATAATAGAAAAAGCTACATATGGTAATTTATAAATTGAAGTTTTTAGGGACATATAGTGCTAACCCTCAGTTTGTGGCATTTTGAGGTACTTACTCACAAATAATACACCCTAGCATCAGCACAAATGTCTATCAGCTGGAGAAAAAGTACACTGGGACATTGCTGATTGCAAAAAATGAATGATATATTGTCTCTGATGAGATGGGTTCCTAAAGCATACTAAGCTTTCTTTTACCAGATCAAGGCAAATCACAGTGTTGCTGATGTGGAAAATATTGATGAATAACACCAAGAAAAGTAAAATAATGTAAACAAAAGTATTAAATGGAAATAAAAAAGTATTTTGTGGACAATATCTTGATCCGTGGAATTTTTTTATCAGTAAGCATAATCTTTTCTGTTTTGAGCATAAAATTGACAGCCACATCTACAAGCAAAGTTAAGAGTGCTAAAATATTAACTTAGGCCTTTTCATATGGTTTTAGGATTTCAAACATTCAAACTCAATTACTCCAGAAACATGATTCTGAGGGTTAGTACTACACATCCCCAAGGGCTTCAATTAACTTGTTTGGAATTTAAATTTATTGTTATCAATTTGTTATCAATTGTTATTTATTTATTAAACTATTTAGTTTTAATAATTATCTTTCATATTTTATAGAACACATAAAACATTCAGATATAGATCGTGCTGTTTCCTCAGTACAGTGTGCCCATCAGACTCATGCATATAAGTAAGTTGCTTAATATTCATCAGATTATGTATTATTCAGTTTTGTTATTTGTTTTTACTAAATAAATAATATTGCATATATATTAATGTAGTGTACTTTTGAGAAAGTATATTACATTAATATCAATATATATGTAATATTATTTCTTTAGTACACTTTAAAAATAAAACAAATTATGTTTGTGGCGTAGTAAACACTAGTATTGTGTTTTATTCTAAAGACACATGGCAAATTTTCCATCAAATTCCTTGATGGAAAATTTGAAAAGGAATTTGATGGAAAATTTGCCATGTGTCTTTAGAATAAAACACAATACTAGTGTTTACTATGCCACAAATATAAAACAGGACACGGTTTCAAAAAGAAAAACAAATTATATAATAAAAGTAGGACATTGTGCGACTTTTTCATATTGCAATAGAATTGAAGCAGAGCCAGAAATAAGTGATCCCTACATTTGTTAAGCACAGAAGAGGTGATCCTTGTACTGTACCTGCTGACCATGGGAGACATGATTTTTGCACTGTCCATGTAGGGAAAGATGATCCTTACACTTGCCAACACAGAGAGGTGATCCAAGAACAAAGCAGTCATCATCAATTGCTTTGTTTTTATATTTTGTTCATTTTTTGCACCTATTTTATGTTAAACACATGCAATACTGTTTGTATTTTTGACCCCTAGGCCTAAATTCCATTAGGCACACTCAGTACTGTGCACATCAGAGAGCACAGCAATTATCACTTTAATATCTTTGTATATCAAAAATGAAGTCATACACTTCTATTTTTCCTGACTGTTATATATAACAGAGGAAAAGTATGGTAATCAGTCAAAAAATGACCCCCCCAAGATTTTTACATTTTTGGACTTAGGACACCTTGAAACATTGAGAAATGCAATAAAATTCAGGGGTAATTTCTATATGTGTGGGGCACAATTTTGTTCACACTCTTTGAAGCTTACTAACTCCTGTGCTTTTCGTTGAAAATTTCTGAAATTTTGCAGGGATGTTTGTTTATTAGGGGAATTGATACTATTAAATTTTGGTGGGGTGGGGAGGGGGAGATAAAAGGGGTTATATGTCATATCTCGAGTAGGATCAGACTTAATGATGATTTTACTCATTATTAGCATTTATAATTTTTTATAAAATCCTCAAAATTAGCTTTTTGCCATTTTATAATAATTAAAAATATAAAAAGTTTTTAATGAAATATTGTAATAGATGGTGCCACATACAGTTCTAAATGTTGCCAGGAAAGTTCAGCAACTTGTTGCTGGATTTTTTACATTTAAACAGACCCATATTAAATTTCTGGATTCCTTATCTCTAATGGAAAATGACCCATTTAATCAAAATGGTTTTATCAAACTCTGCCCATTAAATTTTGAGGATGAACTTGATTCTATAAGCCCATAGAAGGTGTGCTAGCAACTCTGAAACATTGTACGACATCGCTTTGTTGTGCATGTTTGTGAAACAAACTTTCATCTTGAAAATGAAGTTATCAACCCCATTTTTTATTACATTTCTGGATTCCTCATTGCAATTAATGTAAAATGACAAAGTTTAATGAAAATCAATCAAACAGATTTTGAGAACAAACACAATTCTTGTAAGCCACATAGAAGAGGCTTTGCTATTGCACTGCCTCAATTAAAGATTTGCATTATAAAAAAATATATATTAACAATGTATGCTAAAGATCAATACAAAGTGTTTTCAGTATTATTTATGTAATGATAATTTTTATTGAATATAGATGCTCCCCTACTTAAAAAGTTTAACCATAAAACTAAAACTTAAATTTTGCATATATTCTGAAGTTTTCTTTCTGATTATAGAGTGACATTGAGGTCAGTCTTTGGCCAGTAATGTGTATTTATATATACAGAGTGTATCAGAATGACATTTTAAAAATTTGGGGGATTGTAGAGAATGAAATTTTGAACATTTTGATATAAGGAACCTATAGCTGAAAATTTTAACTAAAGTGTCTATAGTGGTAGGAAGTGCTTGACCACTCTTCACTATGGTAGCTACTCTTCCGTTTATTGATGTTATGTTATTGCTGCAGATGGAAGACTGTAAACACACAACTACAGTGGTCTAACTTAGCCTGTGTACAGGACATTGTGTACTTAGTGCTTGTCATCCTTCAGGTCACCCCTTGCATCCACTGGCACTGTGCTGTAAACACACAGCTAGTCAATGTGAGTCCCCTGTATATGCAACACCTGTAGGAACAGTTCATGAGCTTACGGAGTGCATTTTTACAGCATTTAATACCATCAGTGGGGAGCATGGCATCTTACAGAGAGTCGGACAAAACATGGTTTGTCGTTGCACATTATGTAACGAAGTTGGTGGTCGTCACATTGAACATTTATTCTAAAGTAGTGCAGCCACTGATTCGATGTACAGTTTGGTTGTACTCTACTGTTTTGTCAATAAAACTTGTCATAAATACTGTATTCTGTTGCTTCATTCAGCATACCAACCACATAGAACATGCAAAGTGCTGTAGAAACTTTAGTTCAAATTTCTGGCTATAGGTTCCTTATATCAAAATGTTCAAAATTTCATCCTCTACAATCCCCCAAATTTTTAAAACATCATTCTGATTCTCACTTGTATATATATATACATACAACAAACATACATATATGAACAAACAAACATACACTCGTGTATATATATATACGAGTGTATGTTTGTTTGTTCATTCACAAATCATTCCTCGAACATTTTACCAATTTCTATGAAATTTAACTTACTGTATTATTATTTCTACTGTGTATCATGATTTTTCATCTTTATGAGAATTGTAAGGTGGCATTGGAGTAATGGCACTCTTTTGCTATTGTTTGCATTTTTTTATATTTTATAATTAGTGCTTCAAAAATACATCCAAAATGTAATTGTAAATGTAGCAATAGAGATAAATGCAAGAAGTGTCACTCTGTTTTCATGGAAACAACTGGACATCATAAAACTGTATTATTTGAAACACCTGCTACTAAGCGATAGAGAGCAGGTAAATGAGCATAATGTATTTTATTAAGTACATTGAAGGATCAAACACTAATAATAAGTGGTAATTCTGTATACAAATATACTTTCTACAAACCTTGGGAACCTAACCTGTTCACATGTAGAAGAACATCTGTATTTCTAATTTAAGAAAATGTAAAAAACAGAATTATAATGAATAAAAATAAGATTTATTATATTTTTTATATATATAATAAATAATTTTCAGTTAGTTTTATAATTAGTTATAACAAATGGAAAAAATTAACCAACAAATACTATAATTGACTGTTTCAGAAATAGTATTTGTTGGTTGATATTTTTCCATTTGTTTTATCCAATTATAGAACTAACTAAAAATTATATAAGTAATGCTATAATGCTGTACTGATTTTTCAATTTTGTCATTTTCTTTATAAAACTGAAGAAAAATTAATAAAAATCATTAAAAGTTTAAAAAAATTATTTATTTACATTTTAGGTATGCAGGAGTTCCATTAGAGAGTCAAACTGCTTATGAATTAGCAAGTCAAGGAATTATAAGGCCTGCTGGTAAATCTGTTGCACTGATTTATAATATAAGATGTATTCATTTTGACATACCTAATTTTACTCTAGGTACATTTAATTTTTGAATAATTCTTTAAAATATAAAGATTGAAAGTTTCTAATAACAATTATTTTTTAATAGAGGTACATTGTATTAATGAGACAGAACTTTACCTAGCACAACTTGTTCATGATTTGGGACTTTACTTGAAATCTTGTGCTGTGTGCGTGCAATTGCGAAAAATTCGGCATGGTCATTTTACTCTAGATCATGCTCTTTTGAGAAAACATTGGACTTTAGAGCATATTTTAAACAATATTCAGTTTTGCAGAAGTCTTGTGGACAAAGATAAGTTGCTTCCTTCCATGCCATACTTTGAGAAATTAGATGAATCTGCACCAAAATCTTTAGTTTCCTTAGAAATAGATTAGAATTGTAATTTAGTTTATGCAAAATAAATTATATTTTATTATTTTTGTTTAATTATATTAATTTATAGAATTTTTCATTGCAAATAATAGGCAATATTAAATGAAGAAACAAAACTTTTATTAAACAATATTTTTGTCACACTTTATTTTCATAATTCATATAAAATACAATACAATAATAGCCACTTTCTAAAAACTGAAATAAAATTTTACAAATCAACAATAATCTCACTATTTTTTGTATGCAGTTTCTTGTTTACATAATTTATTTTCTTTTAAACAAATTTGGCAGTGTCACAATTGTTAATATTTCTTGAACCATTTGCTTCAGTTATATTGCTATAATTTACATAATACGGTAATATTATATTGCTAATGCATCCATTAAAAGGCATGCTAAAATGGTTTCGGGTTTCATCATCAATCTTAACAGATCTTGGAAATCCACCTATTTAAATACTTAAATTATTTTTATGAATCACAACTACATTTGATTATTTATTTAAAATATTTTCATTATGGTAAATATACTCACTTATTTAGAGTTAACAAGAACTTACCAAAATAATAATGGCCATTTGTATTTAATTCATAATAATTTCCTATAACTTTACTATTGTATTGCTTATTATCTATTTTCAATATTAACTCTTGTTTTAATCTAGAAAAAGTAAAATGATAAATATGTATGTATACATTTATAATAATATAATATGTAAATAATAATGGAAAAAATTTTTATATTGCAAATTTAATTTGAAATGTTACAATTTGTAATAATATATTATGTTATGGACTAAGTGATTAATATGAGCATTTTGAATAATGACAAACAAAATTGAGCCCTCTAATAAATTTAATTTTTTTTTTTTTAATGAAAACTTATCACCTTTAACTGAATACTATAAATGCAGTAGAGCATCGATTATCTGAAACAATTTGAGACTGGGGATTTTCAGACAATCGATTTATGTACGAAAAAATACATCAACCTATCCCATGTTGAAATTCATTCAAATCCTGGCATGTCCTTAAATACCCTCTCATGGTCATGCCAGTGCTGCCAGCTAAAACATGCACACCAACAAAAATGATATTGGAGTAGCCCAAGACATAAACAAATATTGCAGTGCCACAACACTAACAGAAATTAAATTTGCTGACTGGAACACTTTCAGTTAACTGATGTTTCGGTTGATCGATATTCGGATAATTGATGCTCTACTGTACTATCATCTGGTTGTGGAAAGTGATGGTAATAACTTGCAGTGATCAGCTTGCATCTGAGTTGTGCATGCATATTGTGTTTAGTATCAAAATTTTAAATTCATGTAGTCTCTAGTTAATTTACTTTTGCTTCTTAAAATAGTATGTCCTTTTTTGAAAAACGAACTGTCATCGAACACTCATTAAATAATATGAATAACCTGCTTCAACAACTGATTAAAAAAGTTACTATCAGCAAAAAGTTAGAACAGTCAAATTTTTATAAAATCAGCATATTTGACAATGAAAGAAAAATTGAAAGTGAGAGTAAATAACCAATGTAATTTTGAAGTTATCGGAAGAATATTAGCATTTATGTAGTAGATATGATGATGTATATATCAGAGAAATATAAAAATTAATTGTGCCTGTAAAAGAAGGTAATTTGATTAAATATTGCATTCACACTGAAGAAATATTTCAGATATCACATGATGTCCATATTGCTATTGGCCATGGTGGCAAAAATAGTATGGAAAAAAATTAAGTTCAAAATATAAAAATATCATGAGAGATGATCATAATTTACTTGAATTTGTGTGAAATCAATTGGAAAAAACAGAATGTTCCTAAGAAAGGCTTTGTAGTTAACCCAATTTTAAGCCAATGGTATGAACTCAAGATGTCAGGTTAGCCTTATAGATATGCAGTCGCAAGCCGATGAACAATATAAATTTATACTTATGTACCAAGACCACTTTGTTAAATTTTTTCAACTACAACCATTAAAACCCAAAAGGGCTGAAGTTGTAGCCTATGTTCTTTTAAAAATTTTATAACTTTTGGTACACTGAGTAGCCTAAAAAGCAATAATAGCAGAGAATTTGCCAATAATATTATCAAAGGACTTTGTAATATGTGGCCTGAGTTAAAAATGGTACATGGAAAGCCCAGATACTCACAAAGTCAGGGTTCAGTAGAAAGAAGTAATCAAGACAGTCTCCAACCAAGAACTAAACATATTCTCTAACAACATTAATAAATGGTTGAAAGGATTGTTTTGTACAACTAATAAAAAATCGAGTGAACCATCAAATATTTTATAGACAATATTAATTTCCATAAATTCTTTTATGTATACAAGATAATGGTTAAAAAATTAATAAAATTAAATGCAATTTTATTAAGTTAAAGAAACAAAAAAATTTTTTAATGAATTTAAACAGTTTTTGAACTTTCATTTAAACAATAGTCAATAGAAGAAACAAATTTAATGTAACATGCCCTTTTGTCAAAGTTAGCAATCTTTAATTACATAAGTATTTTTGAAGATAATATTTTGAGTTTATAGAGATGAAAATTAAGTAACTTCCGGTAGTTTGAAGAGTAACTAAATTATTTTTTATATTAATTATTGAAGTTTGTAGAATGGACTGTGTAAAAAGTGGTTTAAGATTAACTGATATTTTGAGTTTGAGGGTTCATTATTCTCAAAAGTACATAATTAACTAATATTCTTGACTTCCTTTCTTAACTTTTAAAAATTAACTACTATTTAAAACACACACAATTTTATATTTTTTAAGCAATATTAGTAAACTGTATACAGAAAAATATTTGAAAGTTTTTGAAGTTTCATAGTAAAAAAAAATTAAATTAATACAGTATAATATCATGAAATCTATCTTTATGATATATTTATTTCATAACAATTGTTTATTGTAAATGGAATATTATAGAAATAATTATTTTTAATCTAATTAACTCTTGAAAATAGAGTCATATAGATTAAAACCATTTTAAAATTTTTGATAAAAAACTTATTTACCTATCAATAACAATTGAATGCCATTTGTTGTCAGAATAAGTGTCTTCTGTAGTAATTTTTTTATGAGAAAGCCATCCTAAATTCCATACTACTATTATATAACCATTTTCTAGACCTATTCCTATGTAATCATCATTTCTTGAAAACTATTTTTTAACAAATAAAAATAAAATGCATATTTATTTAAAATTTTTTTAAAATATAAATAAATAAATTTTTTAATATTCAATAATCAGTCATACAAATTTTTGAAATTCTGTAATATTGAAATATTCATTCATAAATAAATAACTAATTAATTGTGAAAGCCAAAAAATTTTAAAAAATAAAATGTTTTTGTGAATTATATGACCATTCTCATCAAACAAACATTTAACAGAATAAAATTATGTAACAATGAAATGTGTAATTTTGAGTAATCATGTAAATAAATTTGTATGACTTCTTAAAATTTTTGATCATTATAAAGCCTAAAATATTTAAAGGAAGAAAAAAAATGATTGAAGTTATTTTTTAAATTTTAATATTGTTATTTTACACAACAAATTTCTCTATTCTATTATAAACAATATAAAGTAGTCCCTTAATGTATGTCATAAAAACAAGCTGGGAATAGAGGGTATGTGATTCTACTCTCAACAGACAGGCAGATATGGTGGCCAGTTCCCCACTGATGCCAATTTTACTCTGGAGTTCATGTTTCATCTTCACATTGAAAAGGGACTGGGTAGACCTCAGACACACAGACCATAACAGGCAGAAACTATCTGTCACTGAAATTTAATGCCAGCATTTCTCAACAGTCTAGTATATATCATTAGAACCAAGCAAATCCAATTAATTAACAAATGACATAAGTTTTTATTAATAATTATACTCATTGACAAAAAAGTTACACAATAAGGAGGTAATGTTATCAAATGAAACTATTAGTGTGAACATGATAATGGTAGCAAGTTATTACAATATCCTAGCAAAGGGGTACTTTTCTATGGAACAGCAATACAATTTAAGGGGACCTTTAGTAACTTGTATAGCCTCTTGCCTGATTACATGGAGGCATACAAGATTGTATACTATCCTACTCTAGATCCTTTATACTTTACAATGGCTAAGAAGCTGGCATCCCATCTAATGCCACAAATACTTGATGGGAAATCTGGACAGGCCAAGAAAGTGTGGCAACATGACAGATACACCCTGGGAAACCCTAGCTGTGTAGCTGAGCATTATCTTGCTGGAAAATGGCTGTCTGCAACCATGTGCTATTTTCTGAATGTACTGCTGTGCTATTATGTTCCTTGCACCACTGTTAAGAGTGATCAACTGTCATACAAGATGGTTTCCCAGATCAGCACATCAGCAATGGGGCAGTGTGCCACTCAACAGTAAAGACAGGATTGTGGACTCACCACTGGTCTTCCACACTAACACAGTAGTCATCTGTTTCCAAGCAGAACTGTGATTTATCATTAAAGATGACAAGCTGCCAGTCTGTAGCAGTCTCTGCTTCTCTGTCATGGCACCACTGCAAACGAAGCCAACAATGTTAGGGTGCTAATGGTAAGGTGCATAGTGGTTATTGTGTATGCAAATTTGTCTCTACTAGTCACATGTCAATGATATGGAAAGATATAGGATTCTATAACAAGGTCCCATCTATCTCTGGATGATGAACAAAGACAATGTTGCAGCTGTTCATGCTTGTCTAAAGATCATGATCAATTCTTCTGGTGGACTGTCTAGGCATCCCAGAGCCTACTCCCATGTATGTGTGTCCTCATATATCCATTGCTCCAACGTCTTCATATAATCATGCCAAAATGGCTGACAATTGAACAAAACAACATTCTGCTTCTCTCACTTGATGATGTGGCCTTTCTAAAAGTTTATCAGCTATGCATAATGTCTCTGACTGCACAGTACAGCCACTTCAAATTCAAAGATCTTTAAACTACAGGTACACTGAAAACTCTGAACACAGAGAACCTCTGCAAATTTTTTAAATACTGGGATAACAATTTTAAGGCACTCTGATGGTGTTACCTAATGTGCAATTGGACCCAACCATAATTATTTACATACTTGTCTGAGACATAACTGTATGCTACATTTTGCAGTAATCAGAAAATTCTATTCGGATGCCTAACTTGTTTTAAATAAATAACTTTGTTCATGCAAAATAAATAAAATATAATATTTTTTATTGAAATTACTGTTTATTAATATATCTATTATTTTTTTTTAAATTTTAAGCTTATAATAATTATAAATTAGTTGAAATTTAATGTTAATACAAAAAATTTTAATATTTTTTATTTTATTATAATATAATTATCTATTAATTAGTGTAATAATAATTTAAATGTGGTTATTTAAATCAATTTCAAATTTTAATACTTATAAAATATAATTTTATTATTATATGAATTATTTGATAAAACTTATTTTCTATTTAAATCTTTTGATTACCTTGCCACTCCAAAATAACAATCCTGATTGATTTAAAGTTAAAAAATCAAAAGCTAGATATGTTCTTTTTAGGTCTCTTCTGTCATAATTTTCATCCCAAAAATAAAGATAGCTTGTGTATTTAAATCTAGGAATTGTAATTTCTATTGCTATTAAAATAAAATAATGATTTTTAATGTGAGAAAATATTAAATATTCATTAAAATTTTTTAAATATACAAATTGGTCATAAAGTCTGTATGCATGAGATTTTATCCTAAGTTCCCATTGAATCTGTCATCAGGTATGATGGATGATGGATTGAATGTAAATCTGATTTGGTGTTGCTTCCTTTAAGTTCAAAGTTAACATATGGCAGTTCACTTTTGACAAATGTGAAAGAGAAAATTTCTCAATTCCATTTTAAGTAATAGTTAAAGATCTACAAAATTTGTATTGGGGAATGATTAAATGGCTCTTAGCCATCAAAAAGGAAGACTATGTCCAAAAGAACACAGAGAAAAATTTTAACTTGTGGATAGCATGCATAAGGACTTTGTGACACTGAAGAATTAGTAATATATGCTTAATATTTACATACTACATTGACAATGTTATATATATATTCAACCAATTTTAAAAAATTTATTATTTCAATGATAATTAAAAATATATTTGATGTAACTAAAAAAATAATAATTGACAATATAGTTAAAATTTGATTTGATGCTATTCCAACACAAATTTTGATATATCAGTACAAGCTAATGTTTCAGAAAAATATATTTTGATAAAAAATATACAGGTATACCTCGAGTTACGTCATTCTCAATTATATGTCGTTTGTCAAAAAAATATATGGAAAAATAAAAATCAAGTTTAAGTCATTTTATTCAACTTTACATCTGTCTGCCACAAATATTGAAATTGTAATACAGTAGAACCTCGAAAACTCGGCTCTCGATAACCCGGCACTCTGGATAACTCGACCACACCCTGGCAGGGCAAAAAAATCCTTAGTTAATTAATTTTCATTATAGACAGCTTTATAAAAGTATAAAAGCTCTCATAAAGTATTTTTCTGAGGTCTGTCTTATCAGGTAAATTACTGTACACAGTGTATTCATTAATTTTCATTTTCATGTAGTAAAGGCTCTATGCCTTCATAAAGTACGTACTTTTCCTTTGTTTAAGGGTATTTGGGCAGTTTATTCTCTGTTATATTCTCAAGTAAACAATACATACAAGTACAGTACAGTATTTTCTGAGGAAACACTCGTACTTATTTTTTTAACCCCATTCCCGATAACCCGGCATTTTCACAAACTCGGCCACCCTTCGGTCCACATTAGGCCGAGTTTTCGAGGTTCTACTGTATCACTAGAAAAGTGTTAAAAGCACATAAAATCATATTAAAATACATTTACACTAAATGCTAATATAATCATCATAAATCATAGAGAATGAAATATGAAAACATCTGTGACTCTGTGTTGTCATCTTATTTAGCGGTCTTTAAGAGCTCAATATTGGCATTTTCCATGGTAGTTCCAATATCTACTGTTTGGTGTCATTGTCAGTGCCACTCGTTATTGGTAAATTTAACATAAATTAGTTTATTTTTTTACTATCGCAAAATAATTTTAATAACTGTGTTTGTTATTTAACCATACAAAATCATCTTATTTTATAATGTCTTAGAGCAAACCACATTCACAAATAAAAAGTCTGCGATGTACTATAAACATCACCAAACTGTAAACATGTACATTTACAAGTATTATACTGTACGTACATGAATTCGTAAATTTAGATTACTTGTTTTCTGTACTATATTAAAAACTAAAATTTATTTATTTGTAAGCTTAAAATATATTCTTATTAGCCATATATTATTAAAAATGAATTTATCAAAAAATACAGAACTGGGAATGGTTATTTGTGCTTTAGCCTAGTGACAAGTAAATTCGACTTACGTCGCCTCTCCTGGAACTAGTTAATGACATAAGGCAAGGTATACCTGTATTTTTTTTTATATTTGTAAATTATTCTTAAATAATAAAATTTGCATCATCATAGTATTAAATAATCAGATTATCTCCTAACTAGCAGACGAGTCCAGCGTTGCTCAGACAAAAAGTAACGATAGCAAAGATTAAGATTATTAGATTATAGCCAATCTTACCTGTTTTCACCGAGTGCAAGAATTAGGTCCTCCTCCTATCCCGAGACTAATTAGAGAATTTTTAGATATCTGCTTACCACACCAGGATAATGATAAATAAGACTCACTGCAACCACTAACCATTGTATAGTATCACTAAGCGATAAATAATAAATATTTTCGTAACTCTTTCTGGATTCTTCTTCAAGTTTAATAAATTTGAAAAATAAGCTGGATCTTCAAGAATCGTTCATAAATATAAATTTAAACATAAAATCGAACATTAAGACAAAGAGTTCAAATAAAGCGAACTTATGCACATGCACTCCCTGTCTCAACTTTATATACAATGTAACACTAAATATCATTGAGAATTTTTAGAAGGGTCTAAAAATATGTTCAATTTCCCACATAAATGCAAAAAAGGCATCTAAAATAGTACAGTAGAAGCCGATTTCTTCACTGTAAGCCTTAATCCTGTCTCTCTCCCCTGTGGGGGGGAATTTCGAAAAATCCCTTCTTAGTGTACATTCTCATGATGTACCCTAACTGTGTACCAAATTTCAACTTTCAACTCCTAATCGTTTGGGATCTGCACTTATTATTATCATTATCAACTCATCTCGATTATATTATAAGATTGCATCATTATTACTAATTCATTAGATTTCTTAAATTTGATACTTAAAACAAATCTAATGAGGATTAGAACCAGGTATAGATCAAGATAGTATTGCAAAGGATTATTATTGATACCAATGAGATTGTTTTCATTAACAAAAGCATTCATTATGAGTATGTTATAAAAAATTTAAAGATTCCTATATTATAATGTGTCATTTTCAGTTATTAAATTTTACAATAAATGACTTTCCATATTAATTCTAAATCTTAAAACAAAGTGCACAGATATGTCTTTCTCAAACATTTTTACTTGCTTATTTTTAATAAGTATTTTAAATAAAGTCATTGTTATTAAGTTATTAAATAATCAAGTTTTAAAAATTTTGCTAAATTAACATTATCAAACAATCTGCCATATTTTATCAGATTACATTATAGCTACATTTAATAATTAGATATTGAATAATTTCACCTATCTCTAGGCAAAATTACTGAATATTTAATTATTAAATGTAACCATATAGTTTGATACAATCTGGCAGATTGTTTGGTGTTAACAAGAATTAGTTATTTGATATGGTTAAATTGATATTAAAGAGTACTGATAATGTTGTATTTCAAGAGTCAATTTATTTAATGATTAAAAAATTTTTTATTTTCAATAAATGAATTTTTAATCTTTCAAAAAATATCATTAGTATCTTAGTATTATTATTGTTAGTAAAAATATCTTTCAGTATTTCAAAGTTAAAAAACTCAAGTTTGTAATCCTGATTATTTTAATTTTAATTCTTAAAAGTTTTTAATATTAAAATATTAATTTTTTTAATTATAAATATGTCAAATAATCTATATATATAAAAATTAATGTCTGTCTGTTTGTCCTTCATGCATTACTACATCATTTATCTGATTGCCATGAAACTTTGGGAAGTTGTTTAATATACTCCTGCAAAGGTTTCTGGCATAGTACATTTATCCTATGATAGATGGCATGTGTGTACATGAGCATTTCATTGTGAGCATTTCAGCACGGTTAGGAGTTGAAACTTGAAATTTGGTACACAGTTAAGCCGGATGTACACATGCGGCACAACAAGGAAAAGCGGTATCGCAAACGCATCTTCACCACGTGGCGGCAATCCACTTACATTTCAGCGCATGCGTTCAGTATTCAAGATGGTGAATGATGCCGATATTGTCACTATCCACGTGTTTACAAATTTTTTTTTGTTCGGCTTGTTTTATTTAGTTAGAAGATTTTGTCGAAGATTTTGGATTAGAGATATTTTCTCGGATTGATAAAGAACTGGTGTACAAAATATGCTTATTCCTCAATAAAGAATACTATTTCGAGTAACATTCAGTTGTTTTGTTCTTTGAATTAAATTATATATTATTATTTGTGTAGAATTTGTGTTAAATTTATTATCTGTCCTCTTTATTCTGATGTTAGTTATCTCGGTTAACCGCATCAAACTTTCTGCCATTAAAACAGCGCGTGATTGCATTTTCTCACATGACTACTAGATGAACTGTTATTGGCTGATAGAAACGCATCTTGGCAGTGGTTGCCACAAAAGATAAAATTCAACCAACTTTTGTGGCACGAGAAAAGCAGCACAAAATCAACTTCTGCGGCGAGAAAAATTGACGTCATCCTGCCACTTTTCCTTGCTGCACCCCATGTGTGCATCCAGCTTTAGGTACGTCATGAGAACACACACTAACAAGGGATTTTTTGAAATCCCCCTGCGGGTAAAGTGACAGGATTAAGGCTTCAACAATGGAAGTGTTAAGAGAAAGCAACGTGCAAGATTTACAGGCGCAGATGCGGTTTTTTGGATTAAATTGAACATAATTTTAGACCCACTCAATGAATTTGGTCTGGGCATAAACAAAATAATCTTCTTTGTAAATAGCACACATATAGCACCAATCTAAAAATTTTCTAATTAGACTGGAAACAGGGAAACCTAATTCTTGCATTGTGTGAAAACAGGTAAGATTGGCTGTAATGTAATAATCTTAATCTTTGCTATCTTTACTTTTTGCCCAAGCAACGCCAGGCTTATCTGCTAGTATGATATAATTTTGTATTTTACACAATAGAAAAATTGTATGTTAGTTTATATTTCATCTTTATACAATCTTGTTCTTTCTTATTTTCCTGTAAGCTCATTAAAACAGTTTAATGATTCAATTTATTAAAGCATTGTTTTTTATACCAGATTATAAATTTAGAGAAGCAGATAGTATATAAATGAAGTGATATTGCTATTAATCAAACTACATTTAATTATAAACAATAAGCTTTTCATACTCAATTTTTATCCCATACAACTTGAAAGAATGTTATTTGTTTTTGGCATACTCTATCAGCAATACATGAAAACTTGAGTAATGAGACCAGATTCTTGGAAATTTCAACTATCTCCATTAATAAACTTCCCAAAGCCGGATAGATTGATACTCAACCAAACAATCACTATAAGTAATTGGGCTATAAATTTATTACTAATGATTAGATATTAAGTAATTTGGTATTAGAGGTAAAATTAGACACTATCTCTTATCCAAATTAATAATTATAATTTTTAATAATTAATTAAATAATTTAGAACCATCTGGAAGAAAAGAACTAGCCCAGAGCAGGACTTGAACCTGCAACCTCAATTTACCATGCAGTGCACTTGCCAGTTATACACTACCCAGATCTACAAGCAATTTTTTGCCTCCAGATATATTTAAATTTTAAATATAACCATATATGGTTACTCACGGTAACTGCATATGGTAAGTGGAGGTTGTGGGTTCAAATCCCATTTCAGGCTAGTTCTTTTCTTTCAGACAGTTCTAAATTATTTAATAAATTATTAAAAATTATAATTATTAATTTAGATAAGAGATGATGCCTAACATCTACCTCTAATTCTAAATTACTTAATATGTAATCATTATTAATAGCAAATTTATAGCCCAATTAATTATGGCAATCATTTGGTTGAGTAACTCCTCCATTAATATTCATAAATATTTCCAGGCCCACCAGTGGCCAATCAGTCATGGATTCGCACCTCACTCAGACAGGCTGACCATGTGGAGTTTTCCGGGTTTTCTCCACATCTGTAATGCCTAAATAGAGGCCAGTTTCCCTTAAAAAAACCTTCCGGAAGGCATCCCCCTAGGCAGATCGCCCAAGTGTTGTGTTGCAACAAACACAAAGATTTCCCATTAATCAAATGATTTTTCTGTCATACTCTTTAAGAAAAAGCAAAAACTGAGTATTGAAATATAAAAATTTATATCATTACCATAAAATATACTCAAAATTAAAAAAATCCACACAGTTGGATTTACAATACTGGCTATTTTATGATCAGTTTATCAAAATTTTTGAAAACTATTTTTAAAATAAAATTTTATCAAAAAATTTAAATACAGTAGAAACTCAATAATTCATTACATCTGGGAGAGGAGTGATAAATTATAGAAAATTCTAGTAACAATTATTAAAACACATTTTGAAATACTTTTGTAGTTTTAATTAACACAAAATGTAACTTATGATCTATTTTTTACAAAACTTTTGGAAAACATTTTATCATAGCTAAGAATATAATTTAAAAAAATATCTTACATACTTCAATTTTTTTTAACATTCTGGCAAGATTTATTCTTTTGTCTTTTATTTTCATCCCTGTTACTTCTGCTAAGTGCATCTAATGGTCAAAGTTTGTTTCAACTTTGAGACAATGTTTTGTTTAGAATATGATTCCAAACTTCAGCATTGTTGAAAATAGCATGTTTAATAGTGTATTGTTTCCAAAATTTGTCCAAATTCATATCCATATCACAAGAAATAAAATGTTGAATAAATATTTTTTGGTAGTGATGCTTCAAATATTCAATCACTCTGTGATCCATAAGTTGAATTAGAGAAGTTGGGTTGGGAGGAAGAAAGACATATTTTATATCTTTATCAACTTCTTAATCATTCAATAGATGTGCTGGGGGGCATTGTCCATAATTAAATTTGCTTTTTCTAGTAAATTTTTAGATTTAAGATATAATTTCACCTGAAAACACATTACAAAACCAGACTGTAAAAATTTCTTGATCCATCCATGCATTTTTTTGGGCATAATAATCAATAGGCAATAATTTTTTATTAAAATTAACACTAAATACAGCAGCTGACAAGAACTGACTATTACATACTGTGTGTGAAATATGAGTCAGCATCTAAAAATAACACCTTTATGTGAAGCTTCAGAAGTAGGTCAAAATTCGTGCACAGAAAATGTTTTAATTTCGTATGGAAAAAAACTTTTTATAATTATAATTATTATTCTTATAATATTGTAAAAAGAAACCGTCGAACGCAAAATGAATATTTTATGTCCATATAAGGACATATCTGTAAAAATTTCTAATAAAGTCGAACTACTCAGGTTAAAACTATGGATGAACTTGAGTACTTAGATCGAACGTCTTCGATAGGAATCAAATTGTCAGTCGGGGGTGACTCACCCCGCGATCTGGGCTCCAATCCCGTTACAATTCATAACAAGGAGGGGAGACCAATTAGAGAATGGGGGCAGATCGACATTGACCTATCGGAATGTTCGATCTGGGACCCAGAAAAAACTTATAAAAACCGTGCAAAAATAGGATGTGACATTCTTGGTTTTAAGTTCAGTGTGCTCTGCTTCTGGATTTTTCCTGCAGTTCAACAACGGGAACTTGGTCGTCGTTCCGAAAGAAGTTTTCGCCATCCCGTCCCAGCAAGTTTTGTCAAGTGTAATCTGCTACGAGAATCACCCCTTCAAGTTGTGCTGTGCGCCCTGGAGCCTACATTTTCCTCATCATCTTCGCCAAAAAGAGAGAAGATCGTAGAAAAAATTGAACTTTATTTATGAACTGATTCACTCTGCGGATAGGCTTTACGCCGAAGTAAAACAGTAGTTGTAAGCAAAATTTTTATATTTAATAAATAGTTTGCGATGAAGGACCTGTCTCAGTAAGTTTTTTCACTCCCACACGACAGTGCTGACCGCTCGACTGTCGCGACACTTTCTCCCCAATTGGCAAACTTCACAGTGGTGTCCGAGAAGTGGGATTTTAAGTCCCCAATCTCCACCAGGTCAATGACTTCACATTTACAAGGTGATGAATTATTAAGTTTCTACTATAATAGGAAAATAAAAAATGAAAACTAAATATAAAGACTTTGAGAAACCTAATACAAAAAACATTTTTCATGAATGTATTAGATTTTATAGTAATAAAAGTTAAATATACTATTTTTGGCAATTACCAATTTCACATTTTGATCCTGTCCATCCTAATGAACAATCACAGGAATAATTTCCATTTGATAAATTTGGAATGCATGTACCTCCATTTTGGCACTTGTGTTTCAAACATAATATATGTGTCTCACACAGTGGTCCTGAATAATTCTAAAAGTAAATTTCTGAATTAATTTAAAGGCAACATATATTATAAAAAATTGCATAATTAAATATATTGACTTACTGATAAACATTTACAAGAAAATTTTCCATCTAGATGATCAATACATATGCCTTTATTTCTGCATATGTGATGTCCACATATTTTCCCCCTACAGTTATTTATATTAAGTCCATTAAGGGCTCCTAGATGATAGATTAATTAATGCTACAAACAGAAAAGTGATTTAAGAAATGTAAATAAAACATATATTTACCTTTAGGTGTTAAATTATATATTTTAGAATTGACTTCAAACCAACTTATACATCCATAAAATGATGAATTATCAATAATATTAGTGGTTGTTAACAAAAATTCTGGTATACCACCTACATATTAAAGGATAACTTTAGATATTAAATTAAAATAAATATTAAAAAAAAACAATTGTCCTTACCTATAAAAAAGTTGGTATTAACATCCAATGCTCTCATTCCAGCAGGTGATTGATTTACAACTTCTATATCATCAACTATTAAATTGGCACTTCTTTCATATCTATCTACAGTAACAGTATGCCAAGTATCTATGATAAATGTTTAAAACTAATCAGTTTTTTTATTAATTAACTTTCTTTATCTTTATATTATAATAAATTTTCTGTTGAAAACATTAAACAGTAAAAGTAGTGATTTTACTTATTTGCTAGCAAATTTTTGAAAAATTGTGATATTTTAATAAGAGATAGAATTCTTTTAAAAGTATAAACCAAAGCAGAATACTTAACATGATCCTAATCTTATTTAGTGTATAAAGTTTGATTAATGGCTAGTCACTATCATAAAACTGTTAAGTAAAACATAAATCTAAAAGATTCATAATCATTTCCAGATATCTTGGGGGGAAAATGAACTTGATGGATAGTAATAGGCAAACCAAACTACAATCAATAGACATGCAAGCTGGAACATGAAATGTTAGATCTTTATTTATGTTCATTTCAAACATACTGCTGCAAGAAAATAAATATAAATTTTTGAAGCATTTCATGAAGTGAAAAGCAAACCAAGCAATACAGGAGATTGAATATGCAATATTTCATTTGGAATCAAAAATGAAAAATATAAATTAGGAACAGGAAAAACATTAAGAGGGAAAAATGATGAAAAAAATAGTTCTACAGCATCTCAATATCTGCATGAAGACATCCCACAATTAATTACAAAGATATGAAAATATAGTATTTGGAAACCATACCTAGAAGAAAGCCTATATGAAAAGAATGAAAATGGCATAAGTATGAGTGATTTACTACAGAAAATAATGTAAGTATAATAAATATTATGTTTTTACTTAAATAAATGTCAATATCACCAAACTGAAGTACAAAAACAAATAAATCATGTTACATTTTAGTAAGAAGTGTAATGAATAGTAGAACAGTAACAAAAGCAGACAGAGTATTCTCACTATCTTTTAATAAGTCCAAGCTTAAACCAAAACAAAGACAGAGGTACAGAAAAACAAAATTCTAAATAACACTTGAACAAACTAATTCTAAATATTTTATAGAGGCATGAAAAAGAAATGTTTCTTTTTCACTTCTCTATAAAATCATTGATTAAATTTTAAATAATTTCAATTTTGCATATTACTTTTGTTTCAGCTGTAGAAAATTATATGTTTATTCAACTTATATCTATAATTTCTCTTCAGTCATCTTTTATTCGTTTTTATTGTAAAGTTGTTTTTATGTAAACTATACAAGTATTAATTGTTCCTACTTGTTAATTACTGATTATATAAAAACTAATTTTATATCTTGATGCACAAGAACTTTTTAAAAGTGGAAGATAACCCTGACAAAGAATACTTGCTAAGATCAGTTATTAATTATAATTCCACTTTCCGTAGAAAAGATTTATCAAGTGTCATTGCATGAAAAGGGCACAACAAATGGATTTAACTATAAAAATGCAAAGCTTCTATATAATTCTTGATCCATAATTCAAACTCTTGTGCTAATAAGTAAGTTTAGAATAAGTTGTTCATATGATTTTAGTAAGGCACTAAATTTTTGTTTGGTCCCCTTTTATTGGCACATTTCAATTCTTATAAGTAAGATTCATTCTTCAATAAAGTTCTCTACAAAACGCTTGTTTTTTTAATTTTATCTCATATCTATTCAGCTCAGTAAAGTAGGCAACATGTAAATAAAAATATCAAATGCAGACCTTGCCCAGACATCATTAGGCAATCTTAAGTTTGTCAGAATTTGTTTTCAGACAAATTCTGAAATAAAATTTCATTTTAGATAATGAGTAAAACACTGTTGAAATCCTAGGATTGCCAGTCTTTCATATGACTGGTAACATATTGATATAATTATCATGAAATTAGAAATATAAAATTTTTCTGTGCCTTAAACTATAGAGGGTATCTACTTAAACATCTTTCCAGGAGCAAAAGAGATCTCTCCAGCATTGCACAAGTGTATGCATGTGGTGTATGCTGCATGCCTATTACAGTGCTAAAAATAATCAAGCAACCAATCTTAAAATCAGTTTATGATAATTTACCATAACATGCAAATAATCTCTGACTGTAAAGGATAAAGACAACATTTGCAGAAATTGATACAAAAAGTGAGCTTTATTTGCTTTATAGAACATATTCAAAACAACCATCTTCAGAGACAATACAAAGATGTTGACAGTCAAGCGTGGCAGTATAGACGGAATGTAGCATCCTGGTGTCACCATTTTACAAGCCTATCATATGTATCTTTCCAGTTCATCAACATCATGTGGTGCTGCTGGATACTGTACATATTATACATTGATGCTTTTAGGTGACTCCACAGGAAAAAATCCATATGGATAAAGTCTGGGAACTTGGTGGCTTAGAACAGACCATGTGCCCTATTCAGCATTTAAAACCCACTTTATGAGCCACTTATACACCTCTGTCCAGGGATGAAGTGCATTACATCAAACCTGCTGTAGTTGCACAAATGGCAAGTCAAGTCATTTGACACTGTCATATTTAGAATGGTATCATTCCTATTCATAGTGCTATCTATTTGTGAAACAAGTTTTGCCAGTGACATTTTTTAAATAAATTAATTTTCTGGATAGATATTTAAGTATTGGCTATTTTAGCACTGGAACACGCATGCACCATATGCATATGCTACTGTAATACTGGGAAGATCTCTTTTACTTCTTAACAGATATTTAAGTGGACACTTACTAATAAAATAAAATGATAATATAATAAATTTTACTAACCTAACGATAATTTATGAGAATTTTGTAGAACAGTAGTAGTTTCTGTTCCAGTTCCAAGGTTAAATCTAAATTCAACATGTCCATTTTTAATAACAATAGCAGCAAAATCACCACTGTTTTCATTCATTTGTTGGGATGCATAAAATAAAATACCATTATCTGACATAGGTTTAAATTGCATTGTTATTATTGTCTTCCTTCGAATATTTTGAGATTTGAACTCCATAAAGGAATTCATGCCATTGAATTGTGGATCAATTATGTTTATTGCTGTAATATAAATTTAAATAAGGTTAACATAAAAAAACTGTGTGAATACTTTTAACTATAAAACTTTGTAATTTTTTTTTATAAATTACAGGTTATTTTATAACATACATACTTTCATTACAATATTTTCCAGCTTGTCCCAATATACAGTCACATCTGTAACCATCAATTGTAACAGTACAAATAGATTTTGGTGCACAATGATGGCTTCCACTATTACATGGAGTAATTTGATTAGTGCATCTGGTACCTGTCCAGCCCACATTACAAAGACACCTGAAAACAGAAATTATCAGATCTTTAATATGTTATAACATCAAAATATACTAGGAGCCAAAAGTGTACATTCTTTTGAAAATCATTATTTTTTATGATCTCAGGAAAAAATTTATAATGATAGAAGTGTTTTCTATGCCCATTTTATAATCACTTTATTAGTTTAATAATAATAATTTTTTACAAACTAAATTTTATTTAAATGCATTAAACTTTCAGAAAAGTTTAATGCTAGAATGCCTCAATGCAACAATGAAGCATTCACAGAGTATTATAATGTGGGGATGTGTAGCATTTGTTGGTATGGGACGAATTGAAGTGTTGTAGAATGCATTCAGTGGGGAAAATACTTTGAAAACATTCTTAAGAGAAAAGATAACCTAAAAGAAGGCCTCTCAAGAAAACCAAAAACAATTGGAAAAACCATTCAATCTGCTGGAAAAGCAAGTAAGGTGTCTCATCTGTTTGTATTACCATTTCGAATCTCGCATTTATTAAGAAAAAAGCCACTTTTACAACTAGAAATCTTTTTCCTACATTAAGTAATCTTTTCTGCAAGATGGAGCATCATACCACATTGTTAAATCATTACTAACATAGTATTCAAGTCTGGAATGACAAACAGTTCAGATTTAATCTTTGAAAATATGTAGTCTAGACTTAAATGGCTTATATGTGCTTTTCAGCTAGGAAATAAACAACAATCAAAAGAAATTATTATTAAACCATAGTTCCATTTTTATTACTTAAAACTTATGAAACTTGTAAATAAATTCAATGCCTTAAAACTGCCAAACAGAAATCAAAAGTTAAGGATATCTAACAGTGGCGACCCTAGCCAGGTTTTCAGGTGGTACGAGATCTCATTGTGGCGCCCCCTGTAGAGACTAAACTGATAATGTACACTTTTCACATTATTAATAACTCAGACTTCTGAAAGATTAGTATAGTATTAATAATACTATTAGTAATACTATGGATGAGAAACGATAACGACGGTAAATGGAGAGTTAACTTGACCCTTGTTAATTCAGACGTATCGCAAGCTGTTGCCGTCCCACCCGGTCGATGGAATCTTTTAATTTTAGGTTATGGAGATATAGCACACATTTCAGAATTATGTTTTATATTCTCACAACCCAGCTCAATCTTGTGTAAAATCTATAGCATAGTACTAGTATGGATGAGGAACAATAACAGTGAAAAAAAACAATATTTCTTTCACAATGCAATATTTATTTAATTTCTTTCATAAGGCAATATTCATAACAATATTTATTTAAACTGCTATGGCACAGACAATGCTCACATCACGCAAAAGACAAATTTACATAGTAAATTTTGTTTAAAATTGAAACAAATTAAGAAATAAAATAAAATAAAAAGCCTATATTGCCACCTTCCTTGCTTTTGCGCTTGCAAATGTTGTTATTAATTCAGAATAATTTAATTCCTGGGCAATACTATTTTTGATAGCTAAAATTGCTAGATCTGACAGTCTATCCCAGGGGTGGCCAACAGTTTTTGCTCCCGGTCCGAATTAGAAAGAAAACTTTTTTCACGGGCCGAAACAGAGGCTGCCCTAGGAAGATTTTGAGGTGGTGCGAGATCTCATTGAAGTCACCCCGTAGAGACTAAATTGTACATAGAGATTACAGATACATTTTTCAGATTATCATGCTTTATCAACATTCTACACTGTACTTAAGAGATCTGTAATGGAGGGTTAACTCTAAATGCACAGTGAGTTGTTGACCTTTTTTTTTTCTAAGGTGTTTGAATTTTTCATTGAGCTATTCGGACTTCAGTAGCTAATATTGAAAGATTAATTGCGGGCCGCATAAATTCGTTAGACAGGCTGGATCTGGCCCGTGGCCATATGTTGGCCATGTCTGGTCTATCCTGACACATGGGTGAATGTAAATAAGTTTTAATTTACTGAAACTTCGTTCTCCTTTAGCAACAGTTACAGGTATGGTCAGCAAAATTCGAAGTGCTGTCAACACATTTGGGAATATATCCTGCCAATCATTTTGTTTAATAAGTTGAAGAACTTTTATTGGTTCTGATGATTCAAGTGCTTTCAACAATGGATTCAGGTGTAAAAGTTCCTCAACCAATTCACAACCAGATATGCCACATTTTTCTCCATCGGTTAAACTTATTTCTAAATTAGCACAGGCTTTTTTCCAATTTTGACTTTTCATGAATTGTTTTGATGTTGTATAAAAAGGACCATGTGTAATTAAATTTGGGATAGCTGTGTAAATCGAGTGACCAACACATTCTCAATTGTATCAATCATAGGGAAAAAGACATTTATTTTAAACAATTCTTCAGGATCTGTTGGTGTCTCATCTATGACCTCGTATTTAAATAATCTGGAGGTAATGGATGGCCGCCGTTGGTTAGATGAAACCTGGCCATCTTTCTCCATCCATTTCGATCTCCACAAAGACTGTCTTTATCAGACAGCGGTAAACGTGAATTAGTTAAGTCCACAACCACGTTTTAAACTAAAACAATATTTATTCACAACAATCTTACGAGAACACTTGATAGAGAGCTACATGTGCTCATGGCAGTGATCACCCGACAAGAAGAAGCAACAATACCCAGAATCCCCTGCAGGAAAAACTCTCGTACCCGTTTTTCAGTCCAGGATTCTCAGGGAACTCCTAGAGGAGTGGCGCCATCTCACGAGTCCATGATGGTCATTGCAAATCTCTTCTTTCTTCGGGATTGGACTGACTTAAAAATAAGATCTATTCCAGCCTGAAAAGCAACTTTCCTAGCTGTTATTACAGCAGACGAATAACGCCAGTACTCTGTTACAAATTCATAGCAGTTCTTCAGCAATTGTGTAGCGTTTGGTAAATCCATGGTTTTAGACTACATAGCCTTGCTTACAATGTTTACTTGAAACAATATATCATACCAAGCCACTATTGTTACTATAAACTCAACTTGCTCCATGATCTGAATCAGGGACAAGGCCTCTGATGCTGCAACTGGGTTATTTGTTTCTTCCTGAAGTTCCGGAAGAGCATCATGAAATGAAGAGTAATGATAATGAACTGCAGCGAGGCTAGAAACTGTACTCTCCGAATGAGTTTCGCAAATTTTTTTCAGCGATAGTCCTTCTATGTGCTTGGATATCACTTTTTCGGACATTTAATATACATTACAATAATTTCGTGACAATAGTACGTGCACAGAAACTTAGAGCTAATTCTTACTCACTAACTTATAACCAAAGAGGGTAGAAGATTATATGAGAAGGTAGATAGAAAAAGGAAAAGATCAAAATATCTGGGATTCTCTTTATTTCGTGAACACTGGATGGACACCACCTCGGATTCTGCAGATACACCAGACATGATTTTTCTTCCCTTCTTTAAAATCAGGACTTCCGTCCAACATTGACTCTGGAGTTTTCTATTTTTCTAATGTAACCAAAATGTCTTTCCTTCAGAATTATTCAGTCTCAAATAGCCCGTAGTCACCTACTCGTGATCTGGAGTGCTCTTCTCTTCACATCTTACTCCCACGAAGGTCCAGTCAAGACTAATCCATTATTTTTGCCTTATCGGCCCTTGGGCCTTAACTCCCCCATTGTCTTATGTTCTTGGAATTGGTGGTCCCACCCAAAGAGAAGAAAGGAAATGAAAGTAAAGTTCTAGAAAGACGGAGAACAAAAGGGAATAAGGAATAAATGTATAAATAAAGTTTTTCCCGTCTTGGTTTCATTAATCTTGGTATTTATTTTGGCGGGTAGGGTTAAGTAGTAATAAGGTGATCGGGTTTTATTTTTTTCACAGATGATCTATCGTTGTATTTTCGGCACCCCCACTATTATGGCGCTTGGTGCGGTCGCACTGTTCGCACCACCCTAGGGCCACCCCTGATATCTAACAAGATATTGACTCTTATGCTACTGTATAGAAAATATGATATGATCTAATATTTACTGTATATTTTTTACAATTTGATGAATTTTGACATATTTTATTGAAGCAAGAGCATAATAAAATAGGTTTCAAACTATCACATAGTTCAGTGTGTATAAATAGAAAAATTACCAATAATTTTAAAATATATATCAAAGTTCTTGAAGGAATAATCATACTGTCATCTTTTCTGCAGACCTACTGTTACAGCAAATATAATATAAATTCTGTCTGTCAATTAGTAAAATACTATATTATGAAAAGAAAAGAAATTATCTTTCTGATATCTATTAAAAATTCTCTTTCAAATAAGTTTATATTTTAATTTCATTACTATATAAACAAATTTATGTTAAAGAAATTAGATAAAACATACTACATACATGAAAGTTGTTCCAAGATTAATACATGTTCCACCATTTTCACACTTGATAAGATCACATTCACTTTTATTACATTGTTGAATATTTCTTCCCGCAATAACATCGTTTAGATTAAAGTAAGAATTTTCTGGACTAACTTTTATTTTTACATCAAAAATACATCCTAAAAAATTTTTTTTTAATTATAAATTTATTTATAAATATATTCATTAAATATAAAAGTAAAAACCAAGATGTATTTTTATTTTATTTACCATTATATCCATTCCAGTTATTTACAGGAAATGGTAATAATGAAAAATTATAGCTTGAATGGCCTCCAATAAATAAATATGGTAATACATTGAGTGCATTTAACTTCCCTGGAGATAGACCTGTAACTTTCTTTTGAGTATCAACAACTAACCAAAGATAACGTCTGTGATGACCAAAACTAATAGTATGAATGGGCATTGACATATTTAAGCTTGAAACTGATTGCAGTTTCCTATAACCTTATAAAATAATGTTTAAAATATAAACAATATTTATAATTATGTATTTACTTTAATCAATTTACCTGATCCCAGATCCAAATAATATTCAACAAAACCATTTTCTAGTCCTATAGCCAAATAATCTGTCATTGGATCATTTGTATCTGTAAAAAAACTTTATTAAATGATTTATTGATTTTCTAATTTTCAGCATATAAAAACTTTATTTAATTATGATTGTAAAGTTTTATTAAAATTCATATTTTTTGAAGTCTCGTTTTTGTTAAGCTAATACTCTTCATTCAACTTGTTTATTTAATTAAAAAGAGTGTTGGAAAATTAGTAACTAATAGAAGGATAGTATGAAGAGGAGCATAGGATAAAAAACATGTTTTGAAATGAATATGTTTTAATATATGTAAAATAAAGAATCAGAATTTCTTATTGGTCTAATATGTTTCATTTTACAGAAAATAATCTTTTTTTAATTAAACTATTCATATGTTTTCCTGTTAAAAGCAGCATTGTTCACATTTCTTTGTAATGTAAATAAATCAAAATGTATCAAAATATATGATTAATAATTTCTTGTGTATATGTAGGTGTGTGTGCACATGCACACTGATTCTAGTTGATCACTAATAAAGTAAGAAATATTCTTTATTAGAGATCAACTGTAAAATATCATAATATATTATTTCAACTAGCCATAAGTAATTTTATAACATTTTCTTTTGAATACTATAGAAAATATCTATAGTATCTATCATAATATCCATATTTGTTTTTAAAGTTGAGTAAAAAATTCAAACTACTAACCTCTTTGTCCCATGAATGCTATTAATCCTTTTTGATATAATTTTGTTAATGTAAATTTTAGTTCTACATCTAAATAATATTGGACATCCATTGTATTTAAGTATTGTAAGAAGGAAGAATATCCCATTATAGAACCATGAAATGATGATCTTGTTATATTCAGTACTATAAATATAATAGTAATATTATTATTACTAAATTTTATTACTAAATTATTTCTAAATAAAAATTTACTTAAAACTTACATTGGTCACAGTTAAGACCATGATAACCATATGGACAAAGACATATGTATTCTGTATTTTTGTTTATTGGCAGACAAGTACCTCCATATTCACATGGATTTGCATCACAATTTAAATGCTCACAAAATATACCACTATATCCTTTTCTACATAAACATCTCCATGCTTCACCATTACTAAATTAGCAAATAATTTAAGATATTAATTAACTGAAATTTCAAAATATAAAAGTATAGAAGAAACTAAGTCATCTTCTTTTCCATCCTTTAATTGAAATATCAAAATTACAGTGAAATTAATGCTGTAATAATTAAAATGAGTATAATTTTGCAAAAGCACAACAAGGAAAGAAATTATTTAATTATTAAAATTAGCCTTAAAATAGCCCAATAATCTGGTAGATCATTTGATTTTAAGGAAAGAAATACAAACAGAAAATATCTCAGCTTTTAATTGAAAATTAGAATTGTTTTTCAGTTATAATTTTTAATCAGAGGCTGAGAAAGTTTCAAAACAAAGATAACTATAATTTCAAGTTTTATTTCCTTTTGTAATTTTTCACTTTAGTTTAAAATATTATTCAGTTTTTATTCTCTAAATTATAAAAGACAGCATATGTAAAAAGAAAGTAATTAAAAATATATTGCCAGTCTGAAAACAGAATTTGTATGATATTATATTGTTCCTTATTCATCAGATTGGAAATTCAAATATTTTTATTACTTGAACATTTGTACTTATTGCTTTTGAAATCTTTTGTGCAAAACAATGCTGAAACAATTTCTAGTATGTTACTAAAGAAAAAGAGTTGCAATTAATTAACAAAATTATAATTAACAGTTCAAAAAAATGCAAGTAAAATTTATTAAAAATAATTATAAAAACTAAATTAATACAGTGGCGTGCCATCCATGGAAGCTGTGGAAGCACTGCTTCCCTTGTATTTTCTAAAATATAAATACATATTGTGTAATTATTTTCATATTTTAATGTACTTTGAATTAATTAAAATTAATATTTTATTATAATTACATTATGTATCTTATTACAAATTTCTATACTACATGTGAAAAAAAATGATAAGATTGCTATTGTATATTCCCAATGAAAGCGCTGTATTGTCAAATACGGGACAGCTTCCACGGCAAAAATATTTGAATGGTATAAAGCAGCCAGATTATACACATTCATGCATGTGCTTTACAGAGCAACAACCTCATGCAGTTTAGCTGGTGGATGCTATACACCAAAATATCATATAATGCTTCCAATGATTCTATCCAGGGCCAGTACAGCTTCTCTATCATGAAATGTCACTACACGCCACTGAATTAATGGTAAATAAATTAAACCTAAAAATTAATTAAATTTAAAAATGATAAAATAATTACAACTCTGGCCTTTACACCAAAACCAAAATTAAAACTAATTAAAATTAAATTTAACCTGTATATATATACATACACACATACATATACAGATTATTTAGTTTTAGTTTTTATATCTGTATTCTGTATATAACCAAAGGTTATTATTAAAAAATCAAACTTAAAGAATAATTGCTACAGGAGCAAACAAATATCTGTCTTTTCAATTCCAAGTCTGAGTCAAAAGTGAAGTCTTTTTGTTTCCTATCCCTATACAAAGAATTTCCTTCCCCTTTGTTAACCCTTTCCATGAATTCATGCCAAGTCCACAGAAGAAGTTAACAGGTGGTCCTTTCAAGGAACAAATTGTAGACCCCACCTTGGGCCCGGTGGGACCTACTTACACACTTTGTAAAATGTTAGTTTCAATTTCAGTGGGAATGGAACATTTTGCTTTTAATATATAAATTTAAATTACTAAAATACTGAAAGTAAATTATTTTATGATGTTTTTGTATACACCAGCTTTTAATATGCATAACTAAAGATTAATTTAAAACTACCTAGAACATGTTCCCCCATTTTGACATATAATAGTGGCACACATTCCATCATCACATTCAATAATATTAGCACCATCCTCAGCATCTTTAACCATTTTCTTGTTTTTATTACTAATCTGAAATGTAAAAGTGATTAAGAGTATTATTGATAACTTTATATAAATATTATAATATTTTAATTATAACATCAATATTATTTATACAAACCTTCAAATCTTTCATGCAACCAGAAAAAAAGATAACTTTGTCAACATTTTTCTGCGATAAAGTATTATTAAATGGCACTCCTCCAAAATAAATATGTCTAAATTGAATTTTAGGATGAAGTGATTGCTGTTGACCACTCATATCTGAAGTGTTATTTACTTGAAGTTTGGCAATGCAAGAAGAACTTTCTTTACTTTCCATAATTTCAAGACTTATAGATTAAAAATTATTATAGAATATTACTATAGAACATAATAACTTTTTAATTAAATATATAATTATATTACCTTAGAGAAATTGAGGAAAAGTATCCACTGTTTACTTTGATATTTGATTCTCTAAAAACCATTGTTTGCTGACCACAAGAAAACTTCAGCTTTAATGAGCCATTCTGGATTTGCAATAGAAGAAATGATTTGTCTTCAAATGATTCAGCATAAAAAAGTAAACCATCAGAAGAGATAGTCTTAAAAGTAAAATTTATATTTAATCTTTGTTGTGTATTTATTTCTGGTAAAATATGTTTTAAAAAAGAATGGTTGGAAAACTGTGGATTATGAACCAAGATTTCTTTTTCACAGTTTGCACCAGTTACATGAAGTGGACAAATACACTGAAATGCATTAAAAAATAAAAGAAAAAGGATTAGATTGATATTTCAAGAAATCAAATAATGTGTATGAATGATATTTGGAAAAAATGGTTATGAGTATTTAGATTTAGATAAATAGCTATACAGGTAAAAAATATGATCAATGATTATGTAAAAATTTACAATTATGTGGTCTGTAAAAATATATTTTTATACATTCAAACTGAAAATGCTTTGGATAATAGGAGTGGGCCATATCAGCAGCTATTGTCTAAAATTAAATTTTAAATAAATTTATTTTCTGCCTCAGGGGGCCCCAGATGATTACCTAAACACTTCATTTATGTGCGAACCGAGGGGGTTAGTTGTCCCCACTTACCAGTGGCTCTGTCAGAGGATGGCTTTATAGGAGGGCAAAATAAAATAAGTGGGGAGGTTAATGAGTAAGTTGACAGGTTCCCAAATAAATACACAGGTTGAACAAGAATAACACATTTAATAAACAACTATAAAATTGTACATATCAAAGGCGAAGGTGAAGAGCTACAAAAATTCTATTCCACGTTACGACAATGATTTGTCTTTCATATGGAACATCTAATCTCTATTCTCTAAGTTAAATTAAGAGACGAGAGAGAGAGTATACAAATAGATATCTAAAAAAAAATACCTCTAAGTTCCCGATCCATAATATGGGTCGTTGGTAAAAACGTTCCTGGATCGTTGCAGCAGTTATGGCGAGGTAGCGACAGATAGGGTGTCTGTATGGGTCAGTAGATGTGGCAGTTGATGTCTGCCCTGGAGGTGTCTGCCTTTTGGATTGCGTTCAAGCCCTCTTTATACTATTTTTGAGGGGATGAGAACTATGACATCATAATGATTTATACGCACACCTGTTCATGTGTTGATGTCTGGACCTAGCTAGTACAGATCACTGGCACAGAGAAGTTTGTTTAATTTATTGATATTGGTGTCTAGAAGATATGATATTATAATATAAATTTCCATAGGTTTGACGGCTCTCATCCATAAATTAACATTCAGCTGACAATAATTTCTGTAAACTGATCAACAATCTAGATATTGTTTATATTAAATGTCATGTTTGACTACGAACGAAGTGATTTATTGCTGTAACCATGTGTCACGTGCAACCAAAGAGGGGGTAAGAAACCTCTCTTATTCCCATCTTGTTGAAATTAACATCTATAGAATTACCTTTAAACAAATGGAGGAGATTTCTTTTATTGATATACAGTCGACCCCCGTATAAGATCATTGATTATTCCGTTTTATATGAATTCCATGTTGTACGAGTCACTTAGATTTTACAAATACGTGTACCGGGCTGTGAACGACTCACGTATTTGTNTGTCCTTCATGCATTACTACATCATTTATCTGATTGCCATGAAACTTTGGGAAGTTGTTTAATATACTCCTGCAAAGGTTTCTGGCATAGTACATTTATCCTATGATAGATGGCATGTGTGTACATGAGCATTTCATTGTGAGCATTTCAGCACGGTTAGGAGTTGAAACTTGAAATTTGGTACACAGTTAAGCCGGATGTACACATGCGGCACAACAAGGAAAAGCGGTATCGCAAACGCATCTTCACCACGTGGCGGCAATCCACTTACATTTCAGCGCATGCGTTCAGTATTCAAGATGGTGAATGATGCCGATATTGTCACTATCCACGTGTTTACAAATTTTTTTTTGTTCGGCTTGTTTTATTTAGTTAGAAGATTTTGTCGAAGATTTTGGATTAGAGATATTTTCTCGGATTGATAAAGAACTGGTGTACAAAATATGCTTATTCCTCAATAAAGAATACTATTTCGAGTAACATTCAGTTGTTTTGTTCTTTGAATTAAATTATATATTATTATTTGTGTAGAATTTGTGTTAAATTTATTATCTGTCCTCTTTATTCTGATGTTAGTTATCTCGGTTAACCGCATCAAACTTTCTGCCATTAAAACAGCGCGTGATTGCATTTTCTCACATGACTACTAGATGAACTGTTATTGGCTGATAGAAACGCATCTTGGCAGTGGTTGCCACAAAAGATAAAATTCAACCAACTTTTGTGGCACGAGAAAAGCAGCACAAAATCAACTTCTGCGGCGAGAAAAATTGACGTCATCCTGCCACTTTTCCTTGCTGCACCCCATGTGTGCATCCAGCTTTAGGTACGTCATGAGAACACACACTAACAAGGGATTTTTTGAAATCCCCCTGCGGGTAAAGTGACAGGATTAAGGCTTCAACAATGGAAGTGTTAAGAGAAAGCAACGTGCAAGATTTACAGGCGCAGATGCGGTTTTTTGGATTAAATTGAACATAATTTTAGACCCACTCAATGAATTTGGTCTGGGCATAAACAAAATAATCTTCTTTGTAAATAGCACACATATAGCACCAATCTAAAAATTTTCTAATTAGACTGGAAACAGGGAAACCTAATTCTTGCATTGTGTGAAAACAGGTAAGATTGGCTGTAATGTAATAATCTTAATCTTTGCTATCTTTACTTTTTGCCCAAGCAACGCCAGGCTTATCTGCTAGTATGATATAATTTTGTATTTTACACAATAGAAAAATTGTATGTTAGTTTATATTTCATCTTTATACAATCTTGTTCTTTCTTATTTTCCTGTAAGCTCATTAAAACAGTTTAATGATTCAATTTATTAAAGCATTGTTTTTTATACCAGATTATAAATTTAGAGAAGCAGATAGTATATAAATGAAGTGATATTGCTATTAATCAAACTACATTTAATTATAAACAATAAGCTTTTCATACTCAATTTTTATCCCATACAACTTGAAAGAATGTTATTTGTTTTTGGCATACTCTATCAGCAATACATGAAAACTTGAGTAATGAGACCAGATTCTTGGAAATTTCAACTATCTCCATTAATAAACTTCCCAAAGCCGGATAGATTGATACTCAACCAAACAATCACTATAAGTAATTGGGCTATAAATTTATTACTAATGATTAGATATTAAGTAATTTGGTATTAGAGGTAAAATTAGACACTATCTCTTATCCAAATTAATAATTATAATTTTTAATAATTAATTAAATAATTTAGAACCATCTGGAAGAAAAGAACTAGCCCAGAGCAGGACTTGAACCTGCAACCTCAATTTACCATGCAGTGCACTTGCCAGTTATACACTACCCAGATCTACAAGCAATTTTTTGCCTCCAGATATATTTAAATTTTAAATATAACCATATATGGTTACTCACGGTAACTGCATATGGTAAGTGGAGGTTGTGGGTTCAAATCCCATTTCAGGCTAGTTCTTTTCTTTCAGACAGTTCTAAATTATTTAATAAATTATTAAAAATTATAATTATTAATTTAGATAAGAGATGATGCCTAACATCTACCTCTAATTCTAAATTACTTAATATGTAATCATTATTAATAGCAAATTTATAGCCCAATTAATTATGGCAATCATTTGGTTGAGTAACTCCTCCATTAATATTCATAAATATTTCCAGGCCCACCAGTGGCCAATCAGTCATGGATTCGCACCTCACTCAGACAGGCTGACCATGTGGAGTTTTCCGGGTTTTCTCCACATCTGTAATGCCTAAATAGAGGCCAGTTTCCCTTAAAAAAACCTTCCGGAAGGCATCCCCCTAGGCAGATCGCCCAAGTGTTGTGTTGCAACAAACACAAAGATTTCCCATTAATCAAATGATTTTTCTGTCATACTCTTTAAGAAAAAGCAAAAACTGAGTATTGAAATATAAAAATTTATATCATTACCATAAAATATACTCAAAATTAAAAAAATCCACACAGTTGGATTTACAATACTGGCTATTTTATGATCAGTTTATCAAAATTTTTGAAAACTATTTTTAAAATAAAATTTTATCAAAAAATTTAAATACAGTAGAAACTCAATAATTCATTACATCTGGGAGAGGAGTGATAAATTATAGAAAATTCTAGTAACAATTATTAAAACACATTTTGAAATACTTTTGTAGTTTTAATTAACACAAAATGTAACTTATGATCTATTTTTTACAAAACTTTTGGAAAACATTTTATCATAGCTAAGAATATAATTTAAAAAAATATCTTACATACTTCAATTTTTTTTAACATTCTGGCAAGATTTATTCTTTTGTCTTTTATTTTCATCCCTGTTACTTCTGCTAAGTGCATCTAATGGTCAAAGTTTGTTTCAACTTTGAGACAATGTTTTGTTTAGAATATGATTCCAAACTTCAGCATTGTTGAAAATAGCATGTTTAATAGTGTATTGTTTCCAAAATTTGTCCAAATTCATATCCATATCACAAGAAATAAAATGTTGAATAAATATTTTTTGGTAGTGATGCTTCAAATATTCAATCACTCTGTGATCCATAAGTTGAATTAGAGAAGTTGGGTTGGGAGGAAGAAAGACATATTTTATATCTTTATCAACTTCTTAATCATTCAATAGATGTGCTGGGGGGCATTGTCCATAATTAAATTTGCTTTTTCTAGTAAATTTTTAGATTTAAGATATAATTTCACCTGAAAACACATTACAAAACCAGACTGTAAAAATTTCTTGATCCATCCATGCATTTTTTTGGGCATAATAATCAATAGGCAATAATTTTTTATTAAAATTAACACTAAATACAGCAGCTGACAAGAACTGACTATTACATACTGTGTGTGAAATATGAGTCAGCATCTAAAAATAACACCTTTATGTGAAGCTTCAGAAGTAGGTCAAAATTCGTGCACAGAAAATGTTTTAATTTCGTATGGAAAAAAACTTTTTATAATTATAATTATTATTCTTATAATATTGTAAAAAGAAACCGTCGAACGCAAAATGAATATTTTATGTCCATATAAGGACATATCTGTAAAAATTTCTAATAAAGTCGAACTACTCAGGTTAAAACTATGGATGAACTTGAGTACTTAGATCGAACGTCTTCGATAGGAATCAAATTGTCAGTCGGGGGTGACTCACCCCGCGATCTGGGCTCCAATCCCGTTACAATTCATAACAAGGAGGGGAGACCAATTAGAGAATGGGGGCAGATCGACATTGACCTATCGGAATGTTCGATCTGGGACCCAGAAAAAACTTATAAAAACCGTGCAAAAATAGGATGTGACATTCTTGGTTCTAAGTTCAGTGTGCTCTGCTTCTGGATTTTTCCTGCAGTTCAACAACGGGAACTTGGTCGTCGTTCCGAAAGAAGTTTTCGCCATCCCGTCCCAGCAAGTTTTGTCAAGTGTAATCTGCTACGAGAATCACCCCTTCAAGTTGTGCCGTGCGCCCTGGAGCCTACATTTTCCTCATCATCTTCGCCAAAAAGAGAGAAGATCGTAGAAAAAATTGAACTTTATTTATGAACTGATTCACTCTGCGGATAGGCTTTACGCCGAAGTAAAACAGTAGTTGTAAGCAAAATTTTTATATTTAATAAATAGTTTGCGATGAAGGACCTGTCTCAGTAAGTTTTTTCACTCCCACACGACAGTGCTGACCGCTCGACTGTCGCGACACTTTCTCCCCAATTGGCAAACTTCACAGTGGTGTCCGAGAAGTGGGATTTTAAGTCCCCAATCTCCACCAGGTCAATGACTTCACATTTACAAGGTGATGAATTATTAAGTTTCTACTATAATAGGAAAATAAAAAATGAAAACTAAATATAAAGACTTTGAGAAACCTAATACAAAAAACATTTTTCATGAATGTATTAGATTTTATAGTAATAAAAGTTAAATATACTATTTTTGGCAATTACCAATTTCACATTTTGATCCTGTCCATCCTAATGAACAATCACAGGAATAATTTCCATTTGATAAATTTGGAATGCATGTACCTCCATTTTGGCACTTGTGTTTCAAACATAATATATGTGTCTCACACAGTGGTCCTGAATAATTCTAAAAGTAAATTTCTGAATTAATTTAAAGGCAACATATATTATAAAAAATTGCATAATTAAATATATTGACTTACTGATAAACATTTACAAGAAAATTTTCCATCTAGATGATCAATACATATGCCTTTATTTCTGCATATGTGATGTCCACATATTTTCCCCCTACAGTTATTTATATTAAGTCCATTAAGGGCTCCTAGATGATAGATTAATTAATGCTACAAACAGAAAAGTGATTTAAGAAATGTAAATAAAACATATATTTACCTTTAGGTGTTAAATTATATATTTTAGAATTGACTTCAAACCAACTTATACATCCATAAAATGATGAATTATCAATAATATTAGTGGTTGTTAACAAAAATTCTGGTATACCACCTACATATTAAAGGATAACTTTAGATATTAAATTAAAATAAATATTAAAAAAAAACAATTGTCCTTACCTATAAAAAAGTTGGTATTAACATCCAATGCTCTCATTCCAGCAGGTGATTGATTTACAACTTCTATATCATCAACTATTAAATTGGCACTTCTTTCATATCTATCTACAGTAACAGTATGCCAAGTATCTATGATAAATGTTTAAAACTAATCAGTTTTTTTATTAATTAACTTTCTTTATCTTTATATTATAATAAATTTTCTGTTGAAAACATTAAACAGTAAAAGTAGTGATTTTACTTATTTGCTAGCAAATTTTTGAAAAATTGTGATATTTTAATAAGAGATAGAATTCTTTTAAAAGTATAAACCAAAGCAGAATACTTAACATGATCCTAATCTTATTTAGTGTATAAAGTTTGATTAATGGCTAGTCACTATCATAAAACTGTTAAGTAAAACATAAATCTAAAAGATTCATAATCATTTCCAGATATCTTGGGGGGAAAATGAACTTGATGGATAGTAATAGGCAAACCAAACTACAATCAATAGACATGCAAGCTGGAACATGAAATGTTAGATCTTTATTTATGTTCATTTCAAACATACTGCTGCAAGAAAATAAATATAAATTTTTGAAGCATTTCATGAAGTGAAAAGCAAACCAAGCAATACAGGAGATTGAATATGCAATATTTCATTTGGAATCAAAAATGAAAAATATAAATTAGGAACAGGAAAAACATTAAGAGGGAAAAATGATGAAAAAAATAGTTCTACAGCATCTCAATATCTGCATGAAGACATCCCACAATTAATTACAAAGATATGAAAATATAGTATTTGGAAACCATACCTAGAAGAAAGCCTATATGAAAAGAATGAAAATGGCATAAGTATGAGTGATTTACTACAGAAAATAATGTAAGTATAATAAATATTATGTTTTTACTTAAATAAATGTCAATATCACCAAACTGAAGTACAAAAACAAATAAATCATGTTACATTTTAGTAAGAAGTGTAATGAATAGTAGAACAGTAACAAAAGCAGANTTGATTATTCCGTTTTATATGAATTCCATGTTGTACGAGTCACTTAGATTTTACAAATACGTGTACCGGGCTGTGAACGACTCACGTATTTGTAAAATTTAAGTGACTCGTACAACATGGAATTCATATAAAACGGAATAATCAATGATCTTATACGGGGGTCAACTGTACTAACAATTTTTTTCAAGATCATCATCTTGGTCATTGACCACAGAAGGCCCCCTTTTTCCCTTTTCACCTAATCATGAGGTTTATTAGAGGGTGATACTGTTCTAATACAAAAGGGACCTTCACATTTACAATTAACAAAAAAACATCCAAATGTGTTTAAAACATTTTACTTATGTTTTTACTGTAATGAATAACATTTTAGTCCATTGTTTCTGAATATACAAAGCAAAATTCTATTGTACTGTGTCTTATGTCTTAGCATTGGCAACATTCCCATCTGGTCTAAGTGTAAGAACTGGTAATGTTGAAAATTTCCTGGAGATGTGAAGGTGAAGGGAAGTTTGTGGAAGACTCAGTGAGTTTTAGTCAGGTTTTAGGAGTCTGCATGGTGAGAATGAAGAAACTAATGCTGCAGAGTGGGATCAGAACTGTGTAAGAAACAAAAAGGAAAGGTTAAAACTTAGGTGGCTTTAGGATCATGTGCAGTGATCAAGGAGTGGATTGCTGTGAATTTCCAGGAAATTTCTAGACTCAACAATCAACATAAGATTTGACAGATTCTGTGATTTTTGGAATTATTGTTAACAGACTTGTCAGCTCTGTTACTGTTTGTACTATTGATAAATAAGATCTCCCTAAAAATAACCATCCTTTACTAGCTTTTAACATCCAGTCTATTTTATTAACATAATCTAACATTTTCAATCAAATTAAAGGTTATGTTAAAGGTTAGTAAAGGGTGGTTATTTTTAAGTAAGTGCAGTTTGAGAAGAGAAGATCTTCCTAGTTTGTTCATGCTATATGTTATTCTCTTATGTGTAAAAAAAAGGGATCATTCATCTTATTCCTGTATGTATCTGTTTTGGGATAACTTTAATCTCTATATTAAAATTAGTGTGTTAAGTCTTATCTCTTCGTCTTACTGGGCTCCAAAAACAATGGGTTAGCCTGAAATGTATGACTGGAATTTTACACCTATCACTCATTTCAATGGTTCCTCTTCCTAGTTATTGTTATTTCTGTCTTCATGTATTTATATTGAATTTGTTCTTCCTCCCCCTATAATACCATATTGAGTACATTACTTGAGAAAAATACTGTGGCGGGAGAGGATGCAATCCTGGCTTCCATGGCGAGAGGAAAATTGGCAACTCAAAAAGCAAGAAAACAACATCACAAGACGACAATGACACTTTCTTACTCCAACTTGAGGTCAATGGACACAAGTCACGTGTTTCCCCCCTTTTGATGCAGAATAAAGGATTAGACTCATACACCAATGAACAGGGTTTACATACTTCACTCTTTGTGTAAATGACGCTTCAAATACCAACAAATGTATCATGGAATATAGTGAAGAATTTACTTTGGAGAAAAAAGTCAGTTCCGAATAAAGATTAAGTGTAGTGGGAATCTTTATTGTAATAATTGAGGTCAATCCCACTTCAATACAAACCAGAGTATACATCACAGTGAGAAATATTCAGTAATTTTCCATGTTTGAAATATCAGAAGCTGGAGAAGCATGATTTGCTGACTTAAGAAGCATATTCAGTGGCACTAAGAATAGGTTAACACCACCATTCCATGAAAATACAAATCTGCATAAAGCAAGACCTTGTGGTACTGTATTTTTCAGTTTTTGTCTGTAATTCTAAGAAAATATCATCAACAAATATGTTCATGAAAATTTGAACATTTTGACAAGTTAAAATGTTTTGAGGTCATTCAAATATGATGTCATCAACTTTTGTCCTTTTTGATTACCTATCACCTCTCTGTCACATTTTGTCACCAATTTTTAGACACCCAAATCTGAAATTCTGAAAAATCTTGTGATGTGGCTTCTTGGTTTGTGCCAATTTCAAGATCATATGCTGTTTAGTTTACAGAATGATATTTTTAATCTTTCTCTGATTGGAAGTCTCTCCAACTTTTCAATAGCATGAACTAATGTAAAATTAGTTCAGCTGGAAATGAATGATAGGAATTGAGGTATTTCTCAGAAGGATCAGAAAATGATTTTCTGTGTTCTTCAGGCATGAAATAAAGCCATAAAAAATTTAAATTGTTGAAGGCCATAGTGCCTTATGCTTAAGTATTCTAGATTGTAGTGACTTGCAGACTGCCATCTCATGACATCATATGTAAATGATAAACATCCATGATGTCATGATTTCCTTTTGAAGCAATTTTGAAAAGCCTCCATGAATGACAACATTGAAAAATGGCATTAGAGTGGAAAATTGTTACATTACTTATAATTATACTAGCAGGTGGGCCCGGCGTTGCTCGGGCAAAAGTAACGATAACTAAGATAAAGATTATTACGTTACAGTCAACCTTACCCGTTTTCACAGAATGCAAGAATTGGGTCCCCTTAGAGAATTTTTAGATGGGTCTAAAAATATGTTCGATTTCCCGCAAAAACGAAAAAACTGCATCTGCGTATCGCACGTCGCTTTCTCTTAACAATTCCATTGTTATGTAAGATTTCCATTGTTGACACTTCCATTGTTACTTAAAACTTTTATTGTTACTTAACACTTCCATTGTTACTTAGCACTTCCATTGTTACCTAACACCGCCATTGTTACTTAACACTTCCATTGTTGATGGAAGTGTTAAGCCTTAATCCTGTCTTTCTCCCCCCCGGGAGGAATTTCGAAAAATCCCTTCTTAGTGTGCGTTTTCGTGACAAACCCTAACTGTGTACCAAATTTCAGCTTCCAACTCCTAACCGTTTGGGCTCTGCACTTATTATTATTATCATCAACCCGTCTCGATTATATTATAGATGAAAAAATATTGTACATGAAAACATGTGCAAGGTGACAAATTTCCATGGCAGTTTTTTGAGGGCCTATGATAAGTGAAAAAAAATTTTTTAACTGAAATTTTTATACAGTTGGATGGATAGCATGTAACGTATGAATATCATGGAAGCATAGCTAAGTCAATTAAATGAAAAATTACCAAAACAATTAGTAGGTGTAGAAAATCACAACTATCACATATGATTGCAAGTTAAAAGATAACAAATTGCCAAACGATCGCCTAAATATCGGGCTACTATATGGCTTAAATGATTAGAATAAAGTAATTTGTCGTTAGAGATAGTCGTTAGGCGCCATCGCTCATTTAATTAGCCATATAGTAGCCCGATATTTAGGCGATCGTTTGGCAATCTATTATATATACTATTCGGGCTTTAAGTTGTTGTTATTTAAAAGATAACTTATCTGAGTTTGAATTTAAAATTATAATAAGAATTGAATAATTGAGTTTGATAAATTATGAAATTTTTGAATATTAAAATAAATCATACAAACCTCACAAAACTTGAAATTTTGTTCAAAATTTTCTATAAGAGTTCCTCCATTTTCACAAATAAAACTTTCACAAGTTGATTCATTTGCAATTGGAAATGGAGAAGTTACTTCTAAAAAATCAGTTATACTTGATTGGGTTGGCACCATTTCACTTATTAAATGAGAAGAAAATGGATATATTTCTGATGTATTTCCTATAATGTAACTGTCTTCAATTTGTGTACTTAACTGTAGTAAAGAAGTCTGAAATTCAGACACTATAAAATCTGTACTTGATGTATTGAGGGTAATTGGTGAAAATAATGACACATTATCAGCACTTTGTGATATTTCAAATTCATCAGAAGTTAGAGTAATGTATAATGAACTACTAGATGCCAATCTTTCAGATGATGAAGATAAAAATTCTGTAGATGCAAATAATGGGTAAGATGGATGTGAAGTCATTGTAAAAATGGAAACTTCTGTTTCCATACTTTGCATAAATGTTTTGCTCACTTGGGTAGTTGAAATTTCTATATCTTCTGTTCTAAAGTAAGATGATTCTTCAGTTATCACTTCAGATGAGCTCATAAAATATGACGAATAGATGAGATCACCAACTGAAGATGATAGATCAACCATTTTTGTACTCATAGTGATGGAAGATTCTGTACTATCAAAAACATGCTTTTCAGTTGAAATTGGTATCACACTGGAATAAAAAGGTAGAGTTGTATATGATTCTTCAAAACTTGGAATAGAAATAGTTGAATCAATTGTTGTCTGGGATGGAATCCAATCTATTTGTTCTGAAGATGTAATAATAGAGATTGTTTTTTTTGGAGATATGGACGGAGAACTGATAAGAGTTGTAAGAGTATCACTCATTGCAGTTATTAATCTGGATACTTCAAAAGAAACTGAACTATAAATATCAAGAAATGATACTTCTGATGTTTCTTCCAATGTAGTTGAAATCATCTTGGAAAAATCATAGGATAGAGGTGATGTATAAAGTTGTGTAATTATTTCTGAAGTTGTATCTATATCACAGATAATAGTTTTACAAGAATTCTCACAAAGTGCTCCTAAATAAAAGAATTGTGTTTAGCATTATATTATAAAAATTCATGTTTAAAGAGTTAATAGCTATAAAAAAAAGAATCTGTAATAATTAGTTTTCATAATATCTATATATTTATATTAATATTAAATTATCTAATAAATATAATAATAATTAAACAGATATTGTATAATCTTAAAAACTTTAAATAATTTGTGCAATTTCTTTAAAAGATTTATGTTTTGTTATGATATAATCTCATTTGTTCAAATGTAATTAAAATGTATATCAAGTACAGTACATTAGATCATCAAAAATCCTTAAATAATGTGGTAATAGATTTATTTTTAAATTTGAATTATTCAAAATTAATTAGAAAAAAACAAATTACACATTTATACTTTTGTTATATTCATAACAATAAAAATGAATATTTTAAGGCTAATATATTAAACATAATAAATATTTTTAAAATTCTATTATCAATACAAAATGTTCTGTCTAAAAATATATACTCTTTCTGTTACATAGTTTATTCTCCTTATTCCTGATGATTTAAGCTGTAATCAAATGAAAATATTTGCTAATCAATAAAAATTTAAATATATTTTTCTAGCATCAATCATTTTCTTGTTTTACAATGTAATCTTATCTGTTCAATATGTTGGTAATCAATAACTTATTAAATATAAGAATATCTAGGAATATGACTCATACCAATAAATCCAAAGGGACACATACAACTGAAACTGTCCACTCCATCTATACAGGTACCACCATTCATACAAGGAGAAGCAGGTAGACATTCATTGTAACGTTGCTCACAAGCAATACCATGGAAGTCTGGCACACAATAACATGTAGGTTCAGTTATATTTATTCCAGCAGCAGATATTTCAACAAGACATATACCTTCATTTTCACAAAAATTTTCTTTGCACTCTTTTACTTCTGTTTCACAGAATTTTCCTGTCCAACCTTTTTGAAACAAAGTGCATATTTCTCTTAATTTAATGAAATAATTGAAATAGTATGTTTCCAAAATATAAATTTGTTTTCATTTAAAATAACTATTAATTAATAAAATATTGAATATCATTAATGGCTAGACTCTGCTCAAATAATGAGTTAAAATTGAAATGGAATGTATATCCAACTTTCTTGTCATCGGCCCATACTTTTTTGAAGAAGGTGATGAAACAGTAACTGTTACCTCCAGTTGGTATATTGAAATGTTAAAGAAGTTTCTATGCCCTAAACTCTCAAATCTTTTCCTTCAAATCCTCAAAAGTTCGAGGAAGATGTCAGAAAACCTTTTCCTTTAGGTAATTCCAAAGGTAAAAGTCACAAAGGCTTAAATCTAGTGACCTTGTCAGCCACCCCATGTCTCCCCTTAAAGAGATCAAATGCCAGGAAACATTTTCCTTGACACTCCAAACAATCATCATGCTATATGAACTGTGATCCCATCCTATTGAAACCATACATGTTCTGTATCCAAGTCATCCAGTTTTGGGTGCAGAAACTTCAACGTTTCAATATACCGGCCAAAGATAACAGTTACTGTTTCATCACCTTCTTCAAAAATGTATGGGCCAATGTCACCAAAGTCGACAAAATGAAAATGGGAGAGCCTAGCCTACCAAATGAAACTTGTTCAGTCTCTACTGCCACAACAGCCCATACAGTACCCACTCCAAATGTGGGAGATCTTTATGCCTCACCCTGTATAAAATATAATTTGTACAGATGTAATATAATTTGTACAGATATAAACATCTACCGAAACCCAATGCTTAGCAAATAGACACTTATGATTGCGCTGTAAATAATCAGGCTATAATTTGTAAATATNCTCCAAATGTGGGAGATCTTTATGCCTCACCCTGTATAAAATATAATTTGTACAGATGTAATATAATTTGTACAGATATAAACATCTACCGAAACCCAATGCTTAGCAAATAGACACCCACGATTGCCATAAATAATTGGGCTATAATTTGGAAATATTAATTATGAATTACAAATAAATTTGGCACTAGAGGGAGGCGTTAGGTGCCATCTCGTACTAAACTTAATAATTATAATATTTAATTAATTCACTTAGAATAAACTGGAAGAAAAGAATTGGTCCGAAGATAGGACTCGAACCCACAACTCCCACTTACCGTGCAGATGCATTGCCAGTTACACTACGCAGACCTTCGGTCCGATCTCCTCTTCCAGTATATATAATCCTAATGTATAACCATTGACGGTTAATACAGTGCCGACTGGGGACACATCCGTGCCCTCGGCCAGAAACATCTACTCAAGGCACTCAGTCGGCCATTGCATATCCCAGCAAAGCATAGATATACAGATATAAACATCTACCAAAACTCAATGCTTAGCAAATAGACACCCACAATTGCCATAAATAATTGGGCTATTATTAAATTTAATATGAGATGACACCTAATGCCTCCCTCTAGTGCCAAATTTATTTGCAATTCATAATTAATATTTTCAAATTATAGTCTGATTATTTATGGCAATCGTGGGTGTCTATTTAACATAATTTGATATTCATTAATATTTATTATACTTCATAAATTTATATAACTGAAATACTAACTTTGTCTATTTATGTAAATAAAAACAAAAAATACACAACTGGAATTGAAGTGCACAACAGTAAAGCCTCATTCCCATTTGTGGAAAAGTAATACAGAAAACAGACAAATTTTTATTTTTTACAGCGTATAGTCTAGAAAATCAAGTTGAGAGATGTTATTTTTCCATAAACAGAAGGTCTATAGCTAGTAGAAAATGAGGATGATTATGATGTAAATAAATCTAAAGAGATAGAAATTCTTTCTCATCAAAAAATTCAACACAATATGTTAACAGATTTGTTGGCAGTTTGAATAATATGATTAATGATCTGTGAATGTGTTGGTTGATGTCAATAGATCAATATGATAAGCACTATGGGCTGTTTTTTAATGACATTTAGGAATATTAGGCTATATTTAATTTTAAAAAATTTTATAGAGTATAATAGAATCGTATTTGTATAATAATAATATTTTTATAAAAAGAAACTAGTTCAAATACTTAAAACTGAAAGATTTGTAAATTAATTGCTCATAAAAAATATAATCTTTTTACACACAAAAAAATTTAAAGTTTTATTTTGATAAATTTTGACATTTTTAAAACATTAAACTCACCAAACAGACAAATACAGGAAAAATTGTTAGGTTTATCAATACATACTCCTCCATTTAAACAAGGAAAAGAACCACATTCGTTAAATTCTTTTTCACAATAAACACCTTCAAATCCTGGAGGACAGCTGAAATAAATATTTTCTATTAAATTATTATGAATTTTCAGTCATAATATATTATTAAGCAAACTTCTTAATATTATGATGTAAAGAGTATATTTTTACTTATTGTTTTGTTTTTTAATGTATGCCATAATTCTTCACTATATATTTATATTTAAATGTAATAAATCTGTTATAATAGAAATACAGTTATATAATTAATTATGTAATAAAATAAATCTATGATTCCTTAATTGTATATTCAAGTAGAAAAATACTTTAATCAACTATATATAGAAGTCTAGAACTTGTTGAAATATTTAAATACAAATGTTTTTGACATATATTATGTTGATAATAGAATCGTATTTGTATAATAATAATATTTTCTGTAATTTTAAAATTAAATAATTATTTAATGAATTTGAGTTCTCAATATTTAAGTTAAAATAAAAGTATATTCTACCTATCTATATCTAAAATATACTTTTGACAATTATCATCAAAAATAATTAAAATGTAAATACAGTTGAGTCTAAAAAACTCAACTTAATATAAGGTGTTATCAAAAATGATAAGTTTTACAGATTCCAATGTTGACAGTAAAGAGAGAAAAATGAGATTGTGTTAAAATACAACCAAATCTGGCCATCTTTTCAATAGGACTATGCTGCCAACTATAGCAGAATTCCACTAAATTAACAAATTTGTTTAATGTAAAGCAGCATTGCAATGATGCTAGTTTAAATAGTAAAATTGTCATTGTGATGTTTGAAGTGAAATGTAATGACACAAAGTATGATATAATATACAAGAAACAGACTTTATTTTCACATACAAACAAGGAATTTACAGGCCCCAACTCTTATACGACTCCCAGATTTTCTTTTGCGATGATGGTATATACAATGAATCCTCCACGTGAGTGGCATCGTCACAATTGATAATTCCATTGTAATATAATATATGGTAGTACAGATTTTACAATCGTAGATCAAATTCTTATCCTAATATCTTAACCTACTTAAACTAATGGAAGGAAATATGCATATAGATAGAAGAAGAAGGGAAGGAAGGATTCATAGGAAAGGGGTACCCAAAATCTTGGCGAATCTTTCGGTATTCTGGTTCAGATCCAATTCTAACATCCATGCAGATGTGCTTCTCTGAACCCTTTTTAACTTCAAGATTCAGGATTTTCTCTGAGGAGTCTTCCACTTAACCCTTTTACTTAAAATCTTCTTACAAGTCTTTTACTCTGATATCGCACTCTCCAGCCCTCGTCGATGCTGAAACGAGCCAGAGCTTTCGTTGTACACCTCTTGCCACCTCAGTGTCCATCCAAAAAGTGATTCTCTAAAACGAGTTTTTGCCCTAAAGGCACCCTGTACTCTATTGTCTGCCCCTCCACACCCTGGTCGAGAAGGATTGGGTCCGAAAATTCTTGGAATATGGAAAACAAAAGACACAGAAGAACAAAGGGATAGCAAGTTATTAACAAAATACAATATGAAATTAAAACTATACATAAAATATTGCATACTGCCACATCATAAAGGTATTATATGTGTAAATTCATATACATATTAACTGCATACTAATAGTGTCTATTTTTATTTGTAGTTAAATTTTAATTTAAAAAAATATTGGCTATTCAGTGACTACATTCATGTTGTGGCATTTTTCAGTGGTACCTTGGAAAAAGGTTTATATTCTTTGTTACTATGTGGAATTGATGCTATTATCAAGTGTTGATGGTGAAGAATGATAACTTATTTGATCCTATGGTTAAGTTATAGATGTAAAAATTAGATTAGATTGCATGTATTTTATTTTTGGACCACTCGTGTTGTCCAAAAATAAAATACATGTGATTTAACTCTTGATAACTCTCAACATTCTTTACAGAATGTCAAGTTATTGAGAGTCAAGTTTCCAGGACTATACTTTACTGATAAAGACTATTATTATTTTGAAAGTGTAAAGATTTTTAAAATATAAAAAGTAATTATTAAAAAAGTTTTACATAATTGTTGATACATTAATTTCATCATACAAAATCATATTTTACCTACTTGCAAGTATATTCATAACCAGGTCCATCAATGCATATTCCACCATTAAGGCAATAAGAGTTGTTTGCTATTTCAAATTCACAAACATTTATGTCTTCTTCACAATGTTCTCCTTTTAAAATAAAATATATTATTTTGAAAAACAATTATCAGAAATATCTTAATTTGCAATTATGAATCTAAATTTATTATATATAATTATTATAATTTTAAAGATTGTATCATAGATAAAAGGATTAAAGTTAGATTAATTCCTGCTATTATATATTATTATAGAAAAGAATTAAAACTATTTGTTTATTTTTAAATTGTTAGAAAAAATATCTATTTTTGATTTATCATAATTAAAGTAATAAACAAATTATTTTTAAAGCTAGAAATATTATGTCAATGAATTGAATTGTCAACAAACTTCCATACTTTTCCAGCAGAAAAATGTTTAATTTCAGAAATACAAATGTTTTTGGTCTTGATCAGGAGTCAGCATCAGGCATATACAGAAGATATTGAGTTAAAAGCTGCAAATTCTAAATTTGGAATGTTTTTAATCATGCTCTACTATGTCATGATATTTTTAAATTTCAAGAACTATTAGAATCAAACATACATTTGTTCAGCTGTTAACATCAAAATAATATTTTATGACAACAAAAACAAACTTTTTTATAAGTGACTACAGGGAAATGTGTGGCTCTATTTCTCATTATTAAAATATCTGCATCTTACAATTTAACAAATTATCTATTAGTGATTTTCAAACTGTACATACCCTTTCAGCATCTTTGACATTTATACACTTCCTCTAACACTTGAAGCTTGGGAGATATATAAGAAATCATATTACAGAATGCTGAAATGGTATCTACAGCTTGGAGATCACCAATAGATAACCCATTAAATGGTAAGATGGGACGCTGTAATAATAAAAAAACAAGACCATATATCTCCCTGTAGTCACTTAAATAAAAAGTTTGTGTTTTGTTGTCACAAAATATTATTTTGATGTTAACAGCAGAATAGGTGAATGTTTGATTCTAATAGTTCTTGTTGTTTAAAAATTGTGACACGGTAGAACATGAGTGAAGGTCCCTTCTGTTCTCTGTCTCCTAAAGCAGCTTTCTTCACTTAGTGGCTGTCCATAAATTACATAAGGTTGATTTCGGCCATTCTAGACCCCACCCACCCCTGTGTAAGAAATTGTAATATTTATTTTGATCCCCCCTCCCCTTCCCTATCTTATGTAATATTTAGGCATGATTTTAAAGAAAGATTTTAACAAGAAAAATTTTTTATGAAGCCCTAAAAATCTTAGGTCCAAAATATATAATTATTAATTAGTTAATTAATATGTACTAATAATTTTAAAATATAAAAATTTAATGAATTCGAATGAACAATTCATTTTAACAACTTAATTTTTTTAATTATTAACAATCTTTTCATTATTATTATCATTAATCAACGTCATAATATTCATTTTTCTATTAATTTTAATTTTCACAAAAGGACGCAAAAACTTTGACAGATCGACTTGCTAGTACACGTGTAAACAGAAATGTCATACAAAACAAAACAAGAGAGAAGAGAGAGAAACCACCACATGGCCTTTCTTCCATGATAAAAAAAATGTGTAGAGCGTGAGTCTCGAGCATTATTATTCTATCACGTCACACGAGATGGCATTGGTACAACAAGCGTTCTTAATAGAAACGGCCAAATTGAAGCCAAATTCAAAACTCCACCACTCAATGAAATCAAAAAATAAAAATAAAAATATTATGTAAGACAAGATCTATTACCCACCACTCCTGAGTAAGAAATCGTAAGAAATCCTTGACCCCCACCCATCCCAAAATACCTTATGTAATTTATGGATGGCCCCTTAGCACAACCTGAGACATTCCAGATATATAGTAGGTTCGTAGGAAATGCACCTCCACACTCAACTTATTTGATATATACATGTGACATCCAAAGAGGGGAAGGAGATCAGAAATAGTAAGTAATTAAATACTTATGTTATATTTTAATTTAAGGTCAAAAGATCAGACGAGAAGTGGAAAAAACCCACACACACTCCGTTCAATTTTATAGCTGATAACAACCGATCAGGTGAATGTCCAGGTTAAACAATTATTACTAAGGTCACACTACAAATCTTGACCTTAGTCACCTCCAGCAATTAATTCAGTTTGTTTGACAGCTGTTATCAATTTTATGAGGTAGAATGAGTAACAATACCTGACAGAACAAGGTAATAAATTTGACAAGATGTTTGATTTCTGACATTTAACATAAACAAATTATAAACACTGATTGAACTTAGAATGAGTTACATCATACGTCACCTGGTGACAATTCAAAACTGATTGGAGGGCACGGGAGAGGTCAGTTTCGCGACTAAATACAACTCCTCTCCAGCCACGTTTCCCTCAACTTTAGTCTTTTCTATTGTTTTAATAAAAACTTTCATTGTTCAATCAGGACATTTAATTCATCCTATTCGTGTCTGAAAATGGAGCTCTTTATTTCTCGATAGAGTGGTCACCTTCAAGCCTTCAAAGTGGCTTCCATCTGGTACCGCACATTTTACTGCTGGAAAAGTGTGGACAGTTGTTGTCAATTCAGTTCATTAAAGTATTAATTATAATACTTTAATTATTTTAATTCAGTTATAAATTTTTAATTTATTATTTCAAATTATATTTGTGGAATATTATTTTGAAATTTTAAACTTTATTGTAATTTGTCTGCTTCCAATATCAAACACTACAATTATCTAACAACAAAGCCTGATTTTCAATTAATGTCAAATGACTTGCCATATTACCTGTTGGGCTATATTAAGGTTAATTTAAGTTAGCCTTAATAGAGCTGAGAGAAAATCTGGCAAATTATTTGGCTTTCTATAATTATCACTTTTTGTTTTGAATTTCTTATTTCACACTGTTAAATATATTTGTAAATTGAAGAGAGCCAAAATAATGGCTTAAAATTTTTCTAATTAATTAAAAGTTTTATTTTTGTTTTCTTTAAATAAGCAGTCTATTTAATTTTTAACATCGTTTTTTAAATTTTAATTCTTACTGTCCTGCAGGAACTAAGCCCTTCTTGGGTTTGATCAGGTTCACAATGAGGGCAGCTGGATGGTGAGGGATGGGAACTGATATATCCAGGTTAATCCATCTATGAAATTTTTTAAGACAATCCAAACTTCAAACTTGAGCTTCCCAGAATGTCAAGTTAATACCTTTACTGCTGCAGTCATCTGACCAGCTCAATCTACTTGTCATAATATTTTCAAAATTCTTTCATTTGAATGGTACTATTAAGATTCTTAAATTGAATAAATTATTATAAAAAAATAGTATTTAATATGGTAATATCACATAAATTTATAATTTGAAAAAAGTGTTTAAAACAAAAAGAATCAGATAAAGATTATTTTGTTAAGGTTGACTTTGTTTTGACCTTGTTAAGGGACATGAGAAATGTAGCATAAGTGGGAAGTTTTGCAGTCAATCATTATTGAACTATCATTAACTTCATTGTTTTATCCATTTTTGCATTTCTCAATAATTTGACATGCAAAGAGTCCAAAAATTAAAAACACCTTACAAAATTCTGTGTATGTATGTTTTGGCATCTTGGTGGTTAAAGGTTAGATACTGCATGTTTCAAGTATTATTGAAACATGCAGTATCTAACCTTTAGCATTATTGAAAATTTTACTCATTATAGGCATTTANTTTGGTTCTTGTATATTCCAAATTTCAAATTATAAGTTGGATCTTATATTATTCCAAAATTCCAAATTACTTTGTTTTTCATATATGAAAATGAAAGTAAAATCATATTATTACTGTAGCAATGATGGCATTCATTCTCTGATATCATTAAAGTGAGAAACATATGAATGTGTAAATTCAGAAAGCAATTTTAAATATCCTTTACTTGCCTGGCAATATCTGCTTAGTCTTTTACATCGACCATTGCTATCAGACTTCACCTTCCTGCCTTGTTTGTTCTTTTTGGTCTATCTCATCTTCCTCTGTTACTGATGCTGGCATTCCACTTTTGACTGTAGAAGCCTTCCTCTTTTGATTGTAGAAGGCCATTAAGCAGAGCAAAATCATTAGCATTCTACTTCAATTATTGATTATTTCAGCTGGTAACCACAGTGTCATATTCTATTATTACAATATTTATTCATTACAAATAATTAATTAGTATTTACATTTATCTAAATACAAGCACCTTTAAATCCTGGAAGGCATTCACATGTATAACCATTCACTGAATCACGGCAGACACCATCATTTAGACAAGGATCTGATAAACATTCATTAACATTTTCTTCACATAAACTTCCTACAAACAAAACAAATATAATTATTTTTACATTGTAATACAATTTTGTAAAAATGACAAACAAAATACCGTGATTATTTATAGAACTGTTAACAGATCAAAAAGTTATGAAAATAATTACAATAGTCTGAACCAGAGAAAACAATTACAACAGTATGACAGAACTTCCAACAAATCATAATTTAAATTATAAAAGTAATATTTGCTACATTCATGAAATATTTGTTTACTCAGATAACTTTAACATCAAAAAAGAACTTGATATTAAAATTATGTTTAAATTTTCTATTGAACAAGCAATTATTTATTATGACATTGTCACAATGCCGTGTTGCAATTTTTAATCGTATTTTTAATTTATTTAATTTAAAATACATGATTTTGATTTTAGTAGTGTCTTGCCCCTGTACATCATACTTTTCCTGTTAACAATAAAGTCATGCCAGTCATCTAACTCTCTTCTGGAGAAAATTTTTGAATTGAAATAACACTACTTTCGATTTGGATTGGAAGTCATGTTATTTCAATATTCAATATAATTTCAATTTGTATACAGTTAATCAGGCCTCCTACCCCTAAGTTTTCCATATCTGGTCATCACTTTCATCTATCTAACTGTTCTTGAAATTAAGGAAGGATAGACTGATGGATGCCAGTGGAAATTTATAGGTCTGCAATTTCAAAATTGCAGCCCAGCAAATCTGAAATTTACATTAGCATTGACTAGGATTGTAATGAATATTATATTTTAAAATATTTTAAAAAGTTTTATAATTAATAAAATCAGATAACAATGGCACCATTATATATAGAATACAATCAAAACTACTTAGTTCAAGGAGCCAAAATTAAAAGTACAGTAATTATAATATTAATTAATATTGTATTTCCATTCAAATAAGAGCATGCTCTTATACAGAGATTGGACAAAATAATGTAAACACCAGTGACATCAAGCTGAATGTTTCTTAATATGTGGATCACCTTTTGCTTGTAGTACAGCATTTATCTGACATGGAATAAACAAATAAAGATTGTGGAAGGTGTCCAGAGAAGTTCCCCCCATTTGTCATGAAAAATGGACTCAAGTTCCAAAAGTGTCTGCAAAGGAGGAAACTTACTGCATATGTTGTCCTCCAAGATTTCCCACAAGGACTTGATGTTGTTGAGATCAAGTAATTGTGGAGGCCAAGGATGATGTTGAACTTCATCCTTGATGCTCATCAAGCTATGACTGGGCACATTTGGCAGTGTGGATTGGCACATTGTCATCAAGGAACATTTCATCTCCAGTTGAAAACAAAACTTGCACCATGGGATAGAGTTGATCAGTCAAAAGTTCAACATAATGTCGTGCCATGATCTTTCCTTTAAACATCACAATAAGTCCCAGATTCTCAGTGAAAGCCAAGATAGTGCTGCCCAAATCATTGCAGAGCCACAAATTTTCATGTTATTTTGTCTAACTCCTGTATGTAACAATTGCTTGTTTTCAAGTTTTTGAAGTGGAATGCCAATTGAAATTTAACATCTGAACATTAAGACATCACAATTCGAACATAAGTTTGAAAATATTCAAATTACAAAAATTTTTGAATATTTTCAAACTTAAATAACACATAATAAAATAAACGAATACATTTACAGAAATATAAATGCACTGTACTGGTACACAGTGGTGTGCCGTGACATTTGATGATAGGGAAGCTGTTTCTGTAAGAAGCCAGGGGCAATCAGTTAATTCTCTAAATGTATTTTTAATAGATTATTTATCTGACGTACTTAATAAATAAACAAGTTCAATATAATTACCTCTGTTATTAGATTCAATAGATTCCCTATGCCCTCTACATGCCGATTCTTGCTTTGATAAAAACATATAACATCTATTAATTTAGATAAAATATATCTATTAGCTGTAATTACCTTGTTATAATTTTCAATATTTGTTTTATATTATTTACTAATGTTAAATTCTATTCCGCTTTGATTTCCAAATTGCTTCAAATACGAAAGAATCCACGATTTTTCGTGTCTTTTGCCAGCTAAATTGTCAAAGCCATTCTTATTCCACACACTAATTTCATTCAAAAATAGTAGGCGAGCCAACAAAACAATTTTTGCATTTTTATGCATTTACGGAGCCATTTAACGTGAAAATGTCAAACAATTTTTTTATTGAAGTGTTTATATTTAACTTAGGCATTGGTCTTTCTCTTTTAATAATGTTTTCTTTTTCATTATATGATTTTGAGCTAAAACTTTTTTAAAATAAATTTTCAATATCACAATTACATTCCGAATCGCTAGCCACGATATAAGGGCTAAAATTAAAAATAAAATTATACTTGGTGAAATAAAATGTGTGGTGGATATACATACCTGGTACAAAACATTCTTCAATTGTATGAATAAACTTTTAAAGAAAATTATAATTTAATATAGCTTTGTAATGAAACGTACATAAAAGTAACATAAAATATTGTTTACTCTTTAAATCTTAACCACTTAGTCAAATAGCTCCCTGCGAGTGGAATCAGAGACAGTCCTGCTAGGTGTGCGATGTGTATATGCATGCAGGCTGCCAAATCCCAAGGGCGCCGATACCGGTCAATTTCAAATGCCTCTTTTGTCGCATCACTAATGTACCTCAAAAGACGCGAGAGGGTTCTTGTAAATTTTAAACGTTTCTCACCATAGCTGTAAAAATCTAAATATGTTAAACTTAATAGATTGTCTGTCATTTGTTTTCTAACTAATTCGTTTTAGGACTAGGTGTTGTCCACAGAAATTTCCAAAATTTACAACTTTCAGTCACTCTCATTGAACTGTCTTTATGAATGAAAAATGCCTGTCTTTATTACATCTAATATTTTGAAGAAATCAATTAATAATAATAATAAATTCATTATTTGTGATATAAGAATGTAATTATTAACATTTATCTGCATGTTGCCATAATATGTAGTCATGGAAATTTGGTTCTTGTATATTCCAAATTTCAAATTATAAGTTGGATCTTATATTATTCCAAAATTCCAAATTACTTTGTTTTTCATATATGAAAATGAAAGTAAAATCATATTATTACTGTAGCAATGATGGCATTCATTCTCTGATATCATTAAAGTGAGAAACATATGAATGTGTAAATTCAGAAAGCAATTTTAAATATCCTTTACTTGCCTGGCAATATCTGCTTAGTCTTTTACATCAACCATTGCTATCAGACTTCACCTTCCTGCCTTGTTTGTTCTTTTTGGTCTATCTCATCTTCCTCTGTTACTGATGCTGGCATTCCACTTTTGACTGTAGAAGCCTTCCTCTTTTGATTGTAGAAGGCCATTAAGCAGAGCAAAATCATTAGCATTCTACTTCAATTATTGATTATTTCAGCTGGTAACCACAGTGTTCATCCTTATCATGATTTTTTATGGAGCTTAAACAAACTACTTACATACTTTCTTGGCAAGATTGATTTCTATATCTTGTCTACAAATAAAATGTTTCTGTTATCAAATTAGAATTGGATATATTCACAATGCTTGTGAATATTGATTCAGAACAGTCACCACTCAAAAAACTGGTTATACTTAATAAAAAAATTCACTCAGACACTAGTACCAGTTTAAAATTTCAAGTTAAAAATCACATCTTTATCAATCCAGAAAACGATTTTTAATACCATAAAAACGTTTTCAATNGCCTTCCTCTTTTGATTGTAGAAGGCCATTAAGCAGAGCAAAATCATTAGCATTCTACTTCAATTATTGATTATTTCAGCTGGTAACCACAGTGTTCATCCTTATCATGATTTTTTATGGAGCTTAAACAAACTACTTACATACTTTCTTGGCAAGATTGATTTCTATATCTTGTCTACAAATAAAATGTTTCTGTTATCAAATTAGAATTGGATATATTCACAATGCTTGTGAATATTGATTCAGAACAGTCACCACTCAAAAAACTGGTTATACTTAATAAAAAAATTCACTCAGACACTAGTACCAGTTTAAAATTTCAAGTTAAAAATCACATCTTTATCAATCCAGAAAACGATTTTTAATACCATAAAAACGTTTTCAATCATTTTAAACAATCTTCCTCAGTTATACCAAAACAGAACATTGAAAGTTGAACATAAAATAAAACATGGAATAAATATAAAATTCAAACATAAATCATAAAGACGCAGACGCGTTATCCACTGCTTGGAGATCTTTTTACAATAATTAACAGTAATAACAGATAATACTACAATTTTATTCACTTTTGTTGCTTTGGCCTTATTTATATAATTTATTTTATTATATTTACTCCGCATGCGCATTTTTTACGTTTGAATTTTATATTTATTCCATGTTTTTATTTTATGTTTGATTTTCAATGTTCTATTTTGGTATAACTGAGGAAGATTGTTTAAAATGATTGAAAACGTTTTTACGGTATTAAAAATCGTTTGCTGGATTGATAAAGGTGTGATTTTTAACTTATTCACTATCCAGTATTTAGTTTATTTTATGTTTAAAATTTCAACAAGTTTACTAATACTAATGTTCTGTCTGTTTAAAATTGACATCCTCAGGTAAGTTACAAGTTATACAAAATGATCTATGCAGAACAGATTGGATATATACTGTTGGACATCCTCACCTAGATATAAGAATGAAAAATACAAAATGGAACTACAAATTTGAAAAGTAGAACAAAATCAAAAAATGAGAAGCTTTCCAGATAGTAGAAGCTCACACATGTGCAATAGTACAACCCCAAACTCAGTGGTAAAGCTGTAAAATTATAACTTCTTTTCATAATGACAATGACAAGATGTAACTATTATAACAATGCTATATAGATCAAAAGTGAGTATAAGAGTTCAAACCCTGCCCATCATGCTATTGAGAGAGAATCGGAGCCCTTAAAGTTAATCACTTTCTGGTTCTTGATTAACTTGACTATTTTTAAACCATCTAAATATTTCAGAGATGAGGGATCTTCCATCCAATGTAATAATTGTGCTCAATTAAACTCTACATGTACTAAAAAATAGAAACTACAATTATGGAAATTCAAACACTCATGAAATCAAGTATAAAAACATCTTACCACTGGAATATTTAAATTTTTCTTTACAAATGTTTTTTGGCTCTATTTATGAGTGTGTTTTTTATATTTAGTTAAAATAGGAGCTGGGTTAGAATGGATTGTTATACTCATGAAACCATTTTAAGCAGCAAAAACAATTTAATTACAAATGCTTTCATTTTTAAAGACTATCTTCAGATAGAATACAAAATTGAACTCAGCAAAAAATAGAATATAATAGATAATTTTCCAAACAAAAATAAAAATACAATACAAATACATAAAAATCTGTAATAAGTTAATAAATAATAAAATAAATATACCTTTTACAAAAATACATAAAGAATATATATAATGGTGGTACAATAAATGATATATGTACTGTACTTTCCGGGGTATAAGACGACCCCCGACTTTTATAGTTAAAATATAGAGTTTGGGATATACTCGCCATATAAGACTACCCCAGCCTGCCCTTGTATCCTATTACTGTACCTCCTCCTCTGCCTCACAGATCTCGCATATGTGTGCCTGTGCCGCTTCACTGCAGTTCTCAGGAGCGAGATCTGAGAGGCAGAGAAAGAGGTACAGTAATAGGATACATACAAGGGTAGGCCAGACGGGTGAAAGATGCGTGTTTTTCTGGGCACAGCCTCTCTATCTCTAGCCATACCCTGGGCGTCCTGGCCGACTGCAGCACCCACCATATAAGACGACCTCAGACTTTTGAGAAGATTTTCCTGGGTTAAAAAAATTGTCTTATATGCTAGAAAATATGGTAAATAAAGGTGAGCATCACACATATATGATGTCAGTCTTAATTATGCCTTATCCAACGCATAGCAGGCCATCCAGGCCACCAAGAGGGGGGTTAATGTTCTTATAGTTGTTTGAACAACCCTATTGCACATATCTGTAAATGTATAGAGTCTCTGCATAATATATTTTAGCATTTCCCAAACTTCTTGGTAAAGTAGAACCTTTATGCAAGGAAAAATCTTTTTGGGAAAACCTCACAACTCATCAGCATCTTTTGCTATAAATTTGTAAAATTGACAGAGAAAGAATGAGACTACCAGACTCTAATGCTTTACTTTTTATTATTATTTGCATTGAATGATTAAATTAAAATATATATAATTGTTTTTGAATTGTTTATTAATAAACAAATATATACAGTATTTTATTTTTATCATTCAATGAAATGACAGTTGTACAAATAATGCATGATAATGGCAAATAGCAACTACCACATAGAAGTGTACTGCCTACTCAAATAAATAACTGTTGGCTTAAAAATAGTTATAAAGTAAACAAATAATGCATTCGATTCATTAACTTTAGAATGTTTTAAAAGATTTACAGAGCCCTAGAATTTCAGTTGCAGAGCCTTATGAGCCCGCTTTGGGAAATGATGATGTACAGGTAACCCCCGTATAACACGGCACTTCTATAGCACGGATTCACTCTAACACGGTTCGAGAATTGGTACTATCCCCCGTATAACACGGTACTTATATAGCACGGATTCACTCTGACACGGTTCGAGAATTGGGTAAAACTCTCGTACAACAGGAAATGTAATAAATTTTTACATAATTAAGTAATAATAATTCACGAAAATAATAATTTTCGTGAACTATTAGTACTTAAGTATGTAAAAATTCTCTTCTCGCCTTCTGTCGATACACGTGGTCCTTCTCGAAACTTGTTTCAATGTTGCCAGATCGCGACGCTTCTGCTTCTGATGTTGCCGAATGTTTTTCCCTTATTCCATACTTGCTTTATTCTTCATAAGTGCTTAGCACCATATAAGGAAATTTATAAAGACCTTTTAACTAGAAGCAAGCAATCTAAAATTACATACATTTTGCAAAAGGTAAAGCATGGATCTGAAGATAATGCAGAAAAATGCTCAGAGGATAAGGATAACTTGCCAAAAAGAAAACGCTCTCGGTTAATTAATAGTGTTTTTAGTGATGACGAAGAAAACATTGTTTAATTTATATTAATATGTATCACTTAAAAAAATTTTAATGAAGATATTTATCTTAATTATGAAAATATACTAGCATGTTTTTTAATTTTTGGAACCTAACCCTCCTTTTCGTATTAGTTCTTTGTTTCGTATAACACGGATTCGCATAACACAGCAATTTTTTGGAACGTAACTACCGTGTTATGCGGGGGTTACCTGTATGTGATGTATATTTCTAATACTTCTGAAAATTTTAGCATGTTGCCAGCATACATCAATGAAGTCAGAAAAAGCATAGGCAATTAAGGATGTGACTTGTTTGGACTTCTAAATGTTACACTTATACTCCTTCAAACTAGCATCCAAAGATCTTAAAGTTGGTCCAATGTACTGGAAGGACATGTGTGACCCTCTCACCCTTGAGAGGAATAGCATACTCTTCTAAAATATTTTTATGGATATTTTTGGTTGGGAAGATCCTTATCATTATGTAGTAGCTTGTAGACAGGATCCTTCAATATTGATATTAAATGGAACAAGAAGCTTGAATATCAACAAAGGATTCATTTTGTATAAAATTTTTTTGCTAGTGGCTTTACTTATCTCCTTTTAGACATTGTGGAGAGTCCTAGCATCTTCTATCATAGTAATCAGTCCTTGAAGATTGTTCTTGTTGAATTTTGGTTATGGAAGTATTGTAAATTATTTGGAAGTCTCCAGATATCAGTCATACGGAAGGTTATGAAATTTTTTGTTTTTGTTAATGTATGTAAACAGCTAAACTAACTTGTACTGTACATCTTAAATTCCTCTTGTACAAAATAAGTACAATAAAGATTATTATTATTATTATTTTTTTATTCAATTAATTTTCAGGTAAATATCTATGTCAGGAATCAAAGTAACTGAATAAAACTTACCAGTATATCCTTCCAAGCATACACAGGTAAAAGAAGCTACTCCATCAATGCATGTAGCTCCATGTTGACATGGCATACTTCTGCAATCATCATAATTCGTTTGACAATTTAATCCTGTATAACCATTGATACAATAACATCTGTATGTATCTTTTTCTGTATCTACACATACCCCATGAACACATGGCCCACTAAGACAAGGAGAAAGCCCAAAAATTATTGTTTTCATCTTTGTCATTACTATTGTTGTAACTAAAATATATTTGAAAAGTATTAAAGACATATTGTGGCATAATTTTATTTCTAAAGTGTAATTAATTTGTTTGAAGTAAAGATACAGAAAAAAATAGGAAATGTTACAGAAATTCTCAAAACACTTCTATACTGGTTAAAATAATTGTGCTGTTTATATCTTCATAAATCTGGAAAAAATAAGGAGAAAAGCATTTAATTTATTTCTTAATAAAGCAGAAAAATTTTTAAAAATTTTAATTTTAAATGAATTTTTATTTAATTACAGTCTGACAACAGTTGTAAAGAATTGATATTCGATATTAACTTGTATTATGGTTTAGTTCAACACAATATAATCTTTACTTATTAATCATGGCATCTGAGAAGTTGTAGAAGTCATAAAGCCTAGAAGGAAAGTTGTAATTTCATTGGTTAACATGAAAAAGGAACTTATTGCTAAGTATGAAAGTGACATACGTATTATGGCAGATCTGGCAGCCATGTTTAAGATGCCAATGTCAACATTGTGTGACTAGTAAATGCAATTTTCATTTTATTATTAGAGCAATTAATTGTGTTATTTTTTTTTACCTTAAATTATGTGTATTTGCTGTTTTAAGTTTATCAAAATAAGTATTATTCAGAGTCTGGGAATAGATTAATTCACTTTCCATTATCTGTAATGGCATAAATTGCTTTGGCCTTTAAACAGCCTCCTGGAATAAATTAAATTTGAAGTATAAAGTACCGTGGTATGTGTGTGAGAACCTTAACATTATTTAGAGAAATCATATATGAACAATGAATTTTGTTGAATTCAATCAGATAAATTTAGATGAAAGAAAAGAATATTCTAAAAGATGGATAAGTTTTTATAATCTTAATCTTATTAAAGTTTGCTGACACTTCTCAGTATTCTTTAGTATACTGTTTAAATTTTTCAATNTATATATAATTTTACTTTCATTCTTTACTATTAATATCTTAAGTTTATATTATTTTGAAATAAACTGTACTTACTGAAATTTCAAAATGTATGAAGAAAGCTCAAATCCAACATATAACATTGAACAAAATTCAAAATTTCAATTAAGTGCAGATGTCCAGATTCATTGTAAGTTTAACAGGAATTAATATAATGTCATTAGAGCAACATGCACACAGCTAACGTTGCCAGTAGCAACAGACAACAACAAGAGTTCTCTGTTACACTTCACTTAGTACTCTAGTGAATTGTGGAAGCAATAAAACTCCAATAAAAAAATCCAAAGCCATAGTATTTATGAATGTTATTGATTTGCTGTTATGAATAATTAATGGTTATATAACAGAGTTAATATATTTTTAACCCTTGTCTTGTTCATATTTATTGAAACAACTAGTTTATTGATTTTTTTTTATACTGAGACTATTTATAATTTAAAACTAAAAGAAAACCTTAACCTCAAATTTTTGAATTAATACAAAATGTTTTAAATGTTTTATTAATAAGAAAAATTTATAAAAATGTTAAATGATTAACAGATTTATTCAGAATGTGTTTATTAAATTAATTTGAAAAATAAAATAAATCAATTATCACTATATTTTAAATTAATATTAATGACTATTTAAAAAGTTTGGAATCTTTAATATGTTCTAATTTTAATGTATGAAACTAATTTTATAGAAAGCATTTTTGTACATGAATCATAAAGTACTTGTTTTTGCTTGGATGACTTCAGTCATCCAGTAAGAATATTAATATTTAGATTCATTTTACATGAGCTTTTAATTTTTTATGTGTAAGCGTAGGAATGCAGAACAATATATGCGTAGATCTGACTCTTCTCTAACTGCACTTATAAATAACTAAACCTTAAAAACCTTTAAAATACAGTCTTTTTATTTCAGTGCCTAACTTTTTTGGTCAGTTAATTGACCTTCTTCGGGAAAGAATCGAAAAAGGTCAATTAACTGACTGAAAATGTTAGACGCTGAAATAAAAAGACTGCATTTTAAAGGTAAAGATCTATATTAAAACTAAACCTTAAAAGATTTACTTTTAATATATATCTGACAATAATTATAAGAAATTTTTCTTCATACGTGTGTGTGTGTGTGTGTTCCTAGAAACAGATTTTAATTTATATTGAACAAGCAATTATTTATTGTGACATTGTCACAATGCCAGGCTGCAATTTTTAATCGTAGTTTTAATGTATTTAATTTAAACTATATGCTCTCCATCTCAAATTAGTAGTGTCTTGTTCCTGTACAGTACATAATACTTTTCCTGTTAGCAAGCACCTATACATCATACTTTTCCTGTTAGCAATAGAATCATGCCAGTAATGCATCTAACTCCATTCAGGGAAAAATTTTTGAATTGAATTCATGTGACTTCTGTTCTAGACCAGAAGTTTGTATATAGTTAATCAGGGCCTCCTGTCCCTAAACTTTCCGTATCTGGTCTTTCATCTATCAAACTCCATCTTGAGATTAAGGTAGATCAGATGGATGACAGTGGAAAATACAATTTTTTTCAAATTGAAGCCCAAAAAATCTACTTAAACACTAAATTATATGCAAAATTTAATAAATTACAACTTTTAAATAAAAAACTAATAGCTAGGTTGATATTAGCATAAATTATTATGGCTTATTTAATTTTATGAAGAATTTTGTTATCATTAGATCAATACAAAAATTATTCATTGTTTCAATTAGTAATAATGAATTTTGAAATTTTTCTTTGTGTTCAATAAAATATTTCAGTATTTGATTATTAAATTGAATTACATTGCTACTAAGAAAATAATTATTTGGGTAATTAAACCCCATATTTTGAAATTTACAAACTTTTTTTTTCTGTTTATTTCAAATAAAGTCCAAGGAATATAAGCTAAAGATGGATTTAATCAATAATTTTCGTTATACCTAAAATCAATTATATTTAATTCTCCAAATTTTCATAACTGTTTTATATCTTTTAGTTTTTTTTGTCTTATAAAGTTTGAATTTTTTTCACACCTATTGATTTAATTTCCTAATATAAATAGTAAAGTACTTTAACAATTATTAAATTAGTTTGCATTCTAAATCATCATTATTAAAATTTATTAAAACTGTAATTGCTTTCATATTTTATTTAAAAGAAAAAAATTTAAACTTTTAGATAATTAATGGTTTAAATTCATGTATTTTAATGTTATATTACTGTTTAAAATTATGTTAATATATTTTTTATATATTAAAACCATAATCAGATTGCTATCTTTTTAAACATGAAGTATAATATGAATGGATAATAAAATCTTTTGTTGTTTTTATTCATTTCTGTTTTAAATTTAAAAGTGAGTAAGAGAAATGATGGAACATAATAAAATATGTAATTATTATTATTATTTTTTTTTGTTTTATAGATTTAAAATATATTGTATATGTGTATATTTTCGTATATAGTATCAAAAGTCAAAAGAATGTTTACATCAATGCATTTTTTTTATTATTATTATTTTAATTTAAATTTCGTTATATAAGTATTAATAGAATTTGTATTTAGCTTGAAAATCCTACAATTTTGAAGAAAAATATTTTTGTAGAAGTAAAAATAATGCTATCAAATAACAGGAAAGCGTCTATATCTGGCGTGTATCATTCATTATGAGGGCATTACATATATAACGCAATGTATAGAGTACAGTATGAAAAAAATCGATAAAAGCAATAAAATTTTCCGAAAGAACAAATTATAAAATCGATAAAAATATTTTATTTACATCGGACAAATTGTGGCAGCTTTACCGAACTGCATGTTTCCTGAATCAGAAATATTTATTTAGTATGATCGATACACATTAGGATATTTGTGTTGGAGGCTGTCCTGAAATGACGTCCTTTCTTTCTCTAATATGGACACACTGGATGGATCGCCTTTTCTCCGAAAATGACATCCATATTGGGAGGGGGTTTACAAATTGGACAAGGGGAAAGAATCAAGCTTCAGTTGACGTCAGTTTTATTTCATTAAATTATATACAGTTTATACATTTTATTATATTTATTTCAAAATTCCATGTATGTTTCGTTTAAGTTTTAGGGGAGTTGAGTTTTGTTGGACGTGCGAAGAAGGGAGGGTGTTACGGAAACATGGACAAACGGGAATGAGGAATAAAAGTTTCAAGAAAAATGGAGATGCATTTTATGGACTTATTTATGTACTATATTATTAGCACGTTTATCCGTTGAAATTCAATGGGTCTTTTTAAATAGAAAGGTGCGTGGAGGGAAGATAAAAATGAGAAGATAATTCAAGACATTCAAATGTTTTTCAATGTTAATTCTAACGTACCAATCACAGTCGAAAATGAAATGGTAATCGGCGAACCAATCAAATTCCGCGAAAAATGGACCAAATACTTTGACTCGAAAACCCCTGAAAATATATTTTTTGCTCGTTGGTAACTTTATATTAAGTAATTTTTCTAATCGAACATCACCATCTTGCCGGTCAGATAGACTGAGAGTCTGTTGTAAGCGGGAAATTGAAATTATTTCGACCAAAAAAAGTCGTTCATCCTCACATCCAGGAGAAGTCTTGGACAAGAGGATGGTCCCTAGAAAGTTTTATTTTATTTGTTCAAACCGTGTTGAAATGTATAAAGAAACTAGCTAACAAACTTCTTTATATATTATATTATTGTTATATATGATTATGTAAATTGATATATATATGTCAATTTAATATATATATGATTATGATTACGATCAATTATTTTAAGTTATGCTATATTTAAAACACAGTATTTAAATTTATCGTATAGACTTTTATTTTTTACTTAAATCAGTTTATCTCATCGAGTACATTTTTTCCATGATATTGAAGTAATTTTATGAAGATTCTTAATTGGTAGCCGCTGTTTACGCAATGGTAACAAGAAAATCCACTTTATGTCTTCCCAATTTTGATAATTTTTTCAACAGCATGAAAAAATTAGATTAATCTTACTCCAATCCACTATTATATTTAAATGTATTAATTAAAACTAATTTTCGTGAAAGTTTTTACTGTCAGGAATGTCAATAGTGACCGATAGATTATTGTTTGTGTTTTGCGTAATTCTTTCAAAATTTTAACAATAGCGAATCAATTAATAGTAAAATTTACAAATGAGATTTTTCTTTTCAAATTTCGCATAAAACTTGTACAATATTCTGATTTACTTTAAAAACTTTTCTGGTTGATAAGGCAGAGGCAATTTGCTTGTTTTTTTTATTTCCTTAAGATTTCCAATTATAATTTTATTGATAAATTTGAGATTATATTTGCTGTATGATGTTTTATATGCTATCGAAGAGAACCAAAGTTACAAAAATAGAAAGCAATATAAGACAATTCATCCGCCTTTAGTATTTAGGTTAAAATTGCTATGCCCAATTATAAGGTGCTCCACAAAAGTATAGAAACGCTGCAAATTTACTATACGAAGGTTAGGAATTACAAATATGATATTAGCTACCTTTCTTATATTGTTCAGGATTTATGAAAACATAATTTGTCGAAACTTATAAGTTAGTTTCCTGTATCACAACAAACAGCAGAAGTTGTAAAAAAACTGATTTTAAATACCTTAGAAGTAGAGGAGAAGGTGGTATTATGGAACCCCATATGGAGCATTTTTATTATAGTGAATTGTAAACAAGGTATCATAACTACATCCACATTTTCTGTGCGAAAAGTACTGGTAACTATTAAACTAAATGTTCCTAATTGGATTTTTCGCTAGTGTAACTATAAGTATGGTTTTTGAAGGCTTCTGTACAAAAAGTCAGAAAGTAGGCTTAGGGAAAACCGGATGGTAATATGGAACCTTACTGTATGTTTTCAAAAAATGCTTTAATGTATCCAAAAACAAATAGGAAAGTACAAAAGATCTTAAATAATTACAAAATTATTTACTCCAATGTATTTTATCGCAAAAATGATTTAATAATAATAATAGTAATAATAATAATAAAAGCATTCGACAGTGTTCCACACAGTTGGCTGCTACATATTCTACACATGTAC